AGAGAAAGAACAGTTTGATTAAAAGAAATACATTCAACAGCTGGAAGTTGACCTGGACCTTCAGATTGAGAAAACAAAAGAGCCTTGACAGCATCTGAAAGGAGAATGTTAGAATCAGGAAGAGAAGAAGCTGAAGGAATTCTAGAAAGGGTATCGGCGTCGATCTTCTCTTTACCAGCTCTGTACCGCAAGTTGATGTCATACGCAGACAAGGAGGATAACCACCTGTGACTGGTAGCATCAAGCTTGGCAGATGAAAGCACATAGGTAAGTGGGTTTTTGTCTTTTCTTACTTCCACAGAATTACCATAGAGGTAATCATGGAACTTATCACAGACAGACCACTTAAGAGCCAAGAACTCTAGTTTGTGAGCAGGATAATGTCTTTCTCCTGCTCTCAAACCCCTACTGGCATAGGAAAAAACATGCTCCTTACCATCAGCACCAATCTGGTAAAGAACCGCTCCCAAACCGCTAGAACTGGCATCAACATTAAGAATGAATGGTTTATTGTAGTCAGCAAAAGCTAAGACTGGAGGAGAAGAAAGTTTATCTATCAAAGCACAAAAGGCATTCTGCTGATCTGGACCCCAATTGAAAGGAACTTTAGATTTCTTAGAAGAACTTTTGCAGGTGGGAATACCAATAAGAAGGTCATTCAAAGGTTTGGCGATCTGTGCGTAGTCTTTAATGAACCTCCTGTAATAACCTGAGAAACCTAACCCTTTAAGTTTAAGATTGTGCATCTCAAGACGTTGAAAGACAGACTGAAGGCGACGGAAATGAGAATCAATAGAATCAGAAAAGATGATAATGTCATCGAGATAAATCAAACAGTCACGAAGGTGAAGTTCGCCCATACAACGCTCCATCAGACGCTGAAACGTTGCAGGGGCATTGGTAAGACCAAAAGCCATTCTGTTGCACTCATAGAATCCGAGAGGCCCAACACTAAAGGCAGTCTTTTGCTTATCAGATTCTTTGACTGGGACCTGCCAGTAACCTGAGCGTAGGTCGAGCTTAGAGAAAATAGTGGAACCTATGAGAGAATCTATAGTTTCGCCGATGCGAGGAAGGGCATAAGCATCCTTGATTGTACGGTTGTTCAGTTTCCGGTAATCGATACAAAAACGCAAAGACCCGTCCTTCTTTCTTACTAACACAACATTAGAAGAAAAAGGACTCTTGGACTCACGGATCGCTCCTGCCGAAATCATGTCTCGTAAATGCTCACGTACCTCCTCAAACATCCCTGGTGGTATTCGGCGATAAGGGTCTTTAAAAGGTGTGGGATCAGACAGATTGATTTCATGTTCGACCAAGTCAGTAGAACCAAGATCAGTAGGCCCAGAGGAGAAGATATGTTTCCACTGATTGAAGAAGGAAGTTGCCTTAACCTGCTGTTCAGAAGTTAAAGTTTCAGTGGGAATAGAAATACCAAGGTCATCAAGAGACTTGTCTGAATTGTGGGATTTATCAGCAACGCCCTCTGAAGGATCAATGGTGCGAACAACAGACACATCATGTAAATTACAAAGAGTCATTCTTGGATGAATGGTAATAGCTCTAGCAGTCAAGTTACAAACACGTACTGGAACCCTGCAAAAAGAAGTACCAGGTTGTAATTTAACCAATCTAGGGCACACATTCAACATAAGAGAATCAGTAGACTCTGTAACACCAGATGACATGTTGCCAATATGTCTCACCTTGCCCTTGTTGTTGTTTCAAAAGGCTTCACAATGACAGTCTGATTATGAAGAAGAGTAACAGGTTTGGTGACAATGTCAGTCAAGGAAGATATGATGTCTGAAAGTGGAGATGATGTTGACTCTGTTCCTGATGACTTCAAAACGTTCAGTATGTTGGTGCCTATTATCAAAGGAACTCTGCATGAGTACTCTGTGTCTGGAACAATCAGAATAGGAGCTGAAAAAGATTCTGATGAAAGAGAAGGAAAAGAAATATCAAGAACTGAATATCCAAGATATGGTACCTTAGAACCATTAGCAGAAGAAATATCCAACATAAAATCTGACAACTGTGACATGACAGGCTGGGGCTTTAAAGATTTGAAGAATGAAATTCCAATAGATGAGATCATAGAACCAGTATCTATCAAAGCTATAGTAGAAGTACCATTTATAAGAATTTCAGTTTCATTAGAACAGCCAACTAGAGGAAATGTAGAAGCAGGGGAATTAGAAGGGGAAGTGTGACCTCTCATCTGCCCTGCGATGGAGGTCGACTGTAGTTTAAAGGACTGGCAGAGGCTTTGACATCCTGAGTGGAAGATCTCTCTTGTTTCAAGCCCTTAAGTTCCTTCTCCATACTAGACAGCCTGGACTCCATGCCTTCCATCTGCTTAGAAAGGGCCCTTATTTCCTGGAGAAGTCTACTATCTACAGTAGTGACACACTGCTGTGCAGGATCAGACTCATTAGGAGTATTAGAAGTAGAAACAGAAATATTGGCCTGCTTGCGTGGAAGAGTAAGAGAAGATGGTAATCTGGACAAGCGCAAGTCTTCCTCAATGGCTCTCAACTCTTTACGAAGAGTATTGAAGTTGAGGTCCTTCTGAAAAAGAAATCGAGAGGCATTCTTCAGCTCTATATCTCGAAGGCCTGACCACAACCTACCCCGCAGCATCTCATCCTTGGACATCCTATCAAGATTGCACGGTATCCTGCTAAGCAATCTCTCCAGACGCAAACTATAATCAGCAACAGACTCATCCACCTTCTGCTGTTCATTATAAAACTGTTCCTTCAACCTTTCAGTTGAATGAACATTACCATAAATGCCATCTAACTCATTCAAGATCTCAGGAACAGTGGCATTTTCACCTAAATGCAAAAGAACACCTCTGGCACTGCCTTTCAAAGATTTACGAATGGCCTCCCTGATAATAAATGGTGGATAATTACCCTCATCAATGACACAATTAACATCATAGCGCCATATCTCGAACATTGACGAGTTGTATTTCCCATCTCCTGAAATAGAAGGTAACTCAGGGATACGGGCATGTACCAAGTCCCTATTTGTCACAAAAGACAAGTATACTTGAGGGTTAGGCATGGGTGGAGGAATGCTATAAACAGGTGGAGGAAAGTGAACCTGATGTGTACCTGAACTGCTGATATGTTCCCGTATAGGAGTAGGTGTAACATTAAATGTATGACTTGAGTGTACTGTATGAGGTGTACTTGCCATTGCATTAACTTGAAACTTACCAGATTTCTGTAACTGTCTAGCAAAAAATTCTAGATCTGCATCTGAATAGTCTAAGGACTGAGTTGTACCATCCGCCATGATGAGAAAACAAAAAAAAAATGGATTGGACCAAAACAAAATGAACGTGACTTAAAATTCAGGATTTCAAATGGCCCAAATTGTACACCATACACTTAAAAAAAATGATTTACATCAGTAACCAGCTTAGGACTATATAGATGTAATAAAAAACAAACAATAGAAATAAAACAATTTTATTTCAAGAGAAAAAAACACAATGACTTGAAAATAATCAATCAACTTTATTCAAATTATGACCCACACAGTGCACCATACATTACACCATAGATCTAATAACACTGATATTCAGTCTCTATTATAAAGCAGTATTAAATTCAACTGAATAATATTCAGTGCTTAACTAACTAAATAAATAACTTATCACAGACACCTTAGATTGTCAAGTTACAGGTAACAAGTCTATAAAATTATATTGTGAAATGCACAGACACTTGTTCAGTTACTTGCTATAAATTTCAACTAATTTATGGTAATTGCTAGAGACACACAGGCTTGTGAAATTATATGCAGGAATTCTGTATTGCAAACAATGTTCAGTCCAGTACTCTATACAATATCAGAAAAAAAATCCCAAAGACCTAACTTACATGTATATAGATTATCTATAAATTTACTTGTTCAGGCACAGACTCAACTGAATACAAGTACACACAAAGCTTACCAGGATAAATAAATGTGTAAAGTTTTCTTTCTTCTGGTTTAGACAATTTTTTCAATGCAAAATGTTTTATTTTCAGTTCATAAAGTAAAATAATATACCTATCAACAGACTTTTTATAATGACTAAGTGAGTAGAACCCAAATTATCAACTTTTCAACTGTGATACAGTAGCAACAATTGATTTGCTATTTGTATATATGTTAAATTCTTGTAAATATAGAATAATTCTATATAAGAAAATATATTACCACTTACACAAAATACTTCACTATTCGAAAATGAAGAAGAAGTTTAGTGTCGGTTCTCAAAAACTGTGTATAAAAATATAAAATCAGCGGGATTCAAAAATGAACAATTTATTCTAATTAAAGAATTAATATTTCACTTCAAATCTATTTACCGGCTACATGATACCGTCGCAGTATTTCAAATGAAATGCTATTTTAAGTTTACAGAATTTTGAATATAATTGATTTTAACTGCCCGGGTTGAACAATTTATTCTAACTAAAGAATAAATATTTCAAACCTACTTGTATACTTTATATTTACTCACAAGTCAACTACAATGATCTGTTCCTACAATAAATGCTAAACTATTCAATCTACATGCTTACTTCAGGCAAAATTCTGGTTCAAGCAAGTCCTGCTTTAAATAAATAATAATAATAAAGATAGGTACAGTAAGTAATCAGGTACAATAAGTTATCAGGATAGGATATGAAATAATTCAGCTGTAAGATATATAATATCTGGGGTAATATAGGATTTATTACAGTAAATGGACAATACCAGACTGGATGTAAATAATTTCAAATAGGGGCAGGTGTAATATACTAGTTATTCAGACCAAGATGAAAGATAAAAGAGACAGAGTGTTAGCTCACCAACCACCTGATAGTTAAATGCTGTGTCTACATGTCTGTGAACTGTATCAATCTTCTCCCCTATATAGTGAACAGTTCTGAACCGTGACATGTATATTTTGTTAATTTTTGGATATTGTATTGTTTCTATTTCAGCTTGCAGCAGTGATGCAGACTGTCCCCAGGGAAACAACATGACTTGCAATCTACAAAAGTTTCATTGTATAAACTGTAGGTACCTCAGCTAATCATCCTTGCACTTTTAAAATTTGGTAAAGTGATATAATAACACTTACTTCAACGATTCGGGTGAGAATAAACATTTTTGACATTTTTGTTTGAGATGGGGATAGTCAAATTTAAGATAAGATCTACAAGATTACTCTTTAAAAGTTCCTAATTCGTAAGAAAATTCATTGACATCGGGATCATAATACTTTTATTTCACCTACTTTGGGAAATCAATTTTCAGGTTTGGTAGGCTGTCTTATTTAACTTTAACTTATATTTTGTCTTGTGATTTTGACTGGTTTTTTAGTTCCTCGTTCTGTTGCATAGTAGTTTTTTTTAAATATACAAGGAAAAACACTAACGAATAGCTTTTTTCATAATAAATCAACCCCGTCTTATAATTTTTATGTTAGAAATAAGGAAACATACGCATACATCTTATGAGTTGTTGTTATTTTTTAGCATATCAAAAGTTGACTAGAATATATCTTCAAAACTTCTGTGAGTGTAAATGTATCAAGTTATACGAGGGGCATATTTAAATTGGTGACAACTAGGATTCTTTGTAATCTAGTGATTAACTTCAGAAGAGGGGACTTTTTCAATACTCCTGAAAATATTCCAGTGACATTACCCCTTTTAGGCACAGCGACGTGGGTCACTATTCCATTACTGTCTAAAAATAGAATACATAACTCTTTAACGCTCCTGCAATGTCAAGAACGCCGTTTTTACCTACCCATATTTTGCTACTGAGTTTATTATCGGACTCAAAAATGTCACGTTTAATGCCCATTAACGATTTCTCTCTAGTGTCTAAGTTCTCGATATTTTAAGCTTGTAAAAATTGCCAAGGCTTTTTCAAATCCATCCCTTTCTGGTTTGGAGTAAGCATAATTTATGCGGGATCTAATCGGCGCACACTTTTCTCAATTTTAACTTTTCGTTCAAGACTGAAAACACATATGACACACCAGGGTTCGATATGTCACTTATTTCCTCCACGGTATTTTGCATCTTCTATAGCTATGTCAGTGCTGATGTTTTTTTCAGAGGTAGCGAAAATTTGCCGCCTTGTGCGGGGATAATCCTTAAAATAAGTTCAACCTTTCTTTAATAATTGTACGATATTTGAAGACCATTTTCACATTAAACTAAATCTAGATCCGTTATTATTTCTGATGCGCATTTACCAAATAACCCTCGAAATTTGCAATGAGCTCCGTGTTCCTCTCTCTAATCACAGTGCCACTCATCCATCTTTACAACCAGTACATAACCAAATGTTTTAAATGACCTGTAAAAATCTTATTCCACGTGCAAATCGTGCGAAAATATACTGTTGGTTAGAACAGTCCATACTCTTTCCACGGTTTATAATACATGTGATTTCAAGTGCATATCCTGTTGAAATATTGTTGTTGTCACTAGTAAAATATATGTCCCTCGTATATTTAACGTAAACATTCATACTTATTTTAACGTGAATTGCTCTGTAACTGAAGGTCTGTAAAACAATAGATAACTACGCTGATAGTATTCAGAATAAGATATATCAACAAGTTTTATGTATATTATTGCATATCAGACAGGAATATCTACTGTTTACACCGGTGCTTGAAAAAACCTGTCTGACACCCCCGTGTAAGACAAGTGGTGTCCCTTAAATGACGTATATCCGCGCGCCTTTTATGAATGAATTCCGTTCTTCGGATGACTTTATATTTTACAGTTTGAATAAAGTTGTAAAATATGATAAACAAGATCAACAAGGAAAGGCGGCGTTCAATGAACGCAACCCCCATATGACCAAGCAACAAGAACCCAATGGCAAGGAGCCCAGGTGGACCCCAAACATAAAAAGGACAGGGCAAAGACACGTTAATCATTAAATGATAAATAATTTGTAACTGATTAGGAATTCAAAGAAAATAATAATAAGCCCACAAAGGGGAAGGGGACAGGAGACCGGGGGAAGGGGGGAGGGGGTTAATCAAAGAAACAAAAACTAGAGGCAATGGGGAAGATACTTACCGTAGACGAGAAAACAACAAGGGACACAAGCAAAAGTGTCACCAAAACAGTATGAAACAACATAGACATACATCTGAGGAACACAGTGGGGCGCCGCCTTGGAACGGTCAGCAGCATGATTAATGACTGCTGGGAAGTTTAAACCGGTTAATGGTGCACCAAACCTCGCTCTTAGCCCCACCATGTTCCTATAAACGAGACAGTGTAAATAAAATGAATCCCCCCAAGTGAAACTCTAACAGTTGTCATGGTTACAAAAGTAAATAAGTAAAACACTAAAATGATCATGTAGAAACATATAAAAGTAAACCCAATAACCAAAAGTACTCAATGTGCTAAAGGAAGATAGAGCAACAAGAAAATCACCTACAAGGGCCCGACGAAGCAAGGCAGAAGACGAACATTAAGACAATTCAGTCCCAAAGGGCTTTACGAACTGTCCATCATAGTCTCCCACTTGGTCCGTCAGATGTAATCAAAAGAGGAAAGCGTAGTGTCCAACTGTAAAAAGGTTGAACACTAAACATGCAGCATGTCTTAAAATAGTAGGGTCATAATCTGTTTTAATAAAACGTTTAATGATTTTAGTAAAAACAGCAGAAAAATTACCATGACACAAAATCTTACGAAGTTTTTAAAACACATCGCCATAAAAAACAAGCTGGTTAATCCCTTGTCGCAGTCACTATTGAATTTAGAAATTAAATGTTACGATTGTAAAATTAAGTAAAATATTTCCGTAATTTATGATAGCGGTAGCCCTGTTTTAGAAGCTTGCTGGTAATAAAAAAAAAATATTCCGCTCGTTGAAATCCTTTACGTTGCTACAAGCTCTAGCGAATCTAATTAACTGAGAAACATAAACCCCGTAAGATGTTGCATGGGGTACGTCTCCATCTAAATGTGGATAATTAACTATACAAAAGTCAAAGTCATCTCTTTTATCATAAATTTTCGTGTGAATAGAATTGTTGTTGATAGTAATATGAAGATCCAAAAATGATGTACTAAAATTTCAAGCGTTCGTTTTATTAAGTTGTAGTTCATGCGGATAAATGTCAGACACCATTTGATCAAAATAAGGATTATCTAAATTAAAAATATCATCAAGGTATCTGGAAGTATTATTAAATGCGACTATAACATCTTGTTGTTTCTCTTCAGAGAGACTCAACATAAAGTCTCTTTCATAGCAGTACAAAAACAAATCGGCGACCAGGGGTGCACAATTAGTACCCATAGGAATTCCTACGATCTGTTTAAATAGGGTATTACCAAACCTGACATAAATGTTGTCTAAAAGAAAAGAGAGTGCTCTACAAACTTCGTCACAGGTCCACATAGTATAATGTTTAACAATACAGTTAGTAAAAAAAGCTTTGTTAGAATTACATGCTAGAAAGGTAACTTTTTTCCCGAAGTTCATACGCTACTATAGTAAAAAAGTGCATGATAGGAATATCAGTTTCTGCAATTTCTGTTCTGAAAATAATTGATATGTAATATGCAAGAAAAGAATCATCAGCAGAGCCTCGTAACCACCATAAACAGTTACTCTCGAGCTAGATATTCCGGTTTGTAACGGCAGCCATTGTACGATTCTTATAAGATATACCAACAGCCTTCAAAATAATTGCATATGGATGATGTTGGCAAATGTGAGATATATGACCCGATATTACACATATTTATAGATAGATCATAAAATGTTCCACAACAAAAATATTATCCTTCACATTTATGTTCATACTAAACTATTTAGAACATGTCAAAAATAATGCATGAAATAACAAGATGATACATTTATATTGCTTGTAAGAACATTTGAAATACTTAATGGAAAATGAGCTCACTATAGACCTATCCACTTAAAGTTTCTTAGGTATCGCTTAAACCGCTAGAAAAGATTATAAGGAAATTTCACAAGTAAAAGAAAAAATAAAACAAATAACGCGACGTAAAATCATTAGCAGGGTAAATAGTACAGATAGTTACAAGCCTGAAATTATTTGATACTATGCGCAAGTATATTTACCTTCAAAATAACGAAAGAAGTTGTTAAGTTAAATTTACATATATAGGTAAGTTATTGAACATGTTATTGAACATGTTGTGTTATGATGTTAAGATCTTATTTAATTAACTCTTTTGTAAACAAATGACTCTTTCGTGAACCTATTAATAAAATGCTGCGACATTCCATCGTGATATGCCCATGACTTTCTGTACTGATTAGTGTGTAGTAAATAATTGTTTGAAATAATGTTAGTTTGAGCTACTTTTTTTAAATATTCTAAAGAGCGTTGAGTGCGAGTTAACTCAAAAGAAGTCACAATTTGGGGTTAATTATAAACAATATTTGTATAAAAAAGGAAAATATTTCCAACAACAAAAAGTATGTTTTCATCAATTCGCGAAAGGTTTCACTTATTGTCTCTCTCTAACTTTGGCAAGGGTTACAGAAATCTATAGAATTGAAGTAAATGCAAAGTTCAAAAATTGAAAACAAAGTTTGTTACTGTAGAGTTTATACCCACTATACACACTAAAATGAATTTTCTTTCAGAATGGAGGTTCTAAATTCTTTGGCAAGTACGACCTGCCTAAAACAAACCTTATTCATATGATATGTTCTTTGACAGCATATGGGGCGTCCGTAGCCAAATGGTTATGGTCGTTGACTTCAAATCACTTGCCCCTCACCGCTGCGGGTTCGAATCCCGACATGGACTTTGGATTCTTTCATGTGATGAAGCTATCCAGCTAGCTTACGGAACGTCGGTGGTTCTACTCAGGTGCCTTTCGTGCCCGAAAAAATACACGGAAGGGCACATGAGGTCTTCCTCCACCAGTAAAGCTGAAACGTCGCCAAACGACCTATACTGTGTCGATGTGACGTACAACCTAATCAAACAAATCAATCAACTTTGACATCATAAAAATCTAATAGTTATTCTTCCTTTGACATTATGCGAGGAACAAATGTACGTGAAATAAATTGTACGGAAACCAAATGTACGGGAACCAAGTCATTTAACTCATTTGTAAACAGTATGACTTGCATCACACTGATTTATTTTAATATCTCATTCAAGACTCTGATACGAACCGTGTCAAGAGTATTGAAACGCTTACGTTGTCTTATTTTTGATTTCCGTAGTTACGACTTTTGCAAGCAATGTAAGAGCATTAGACTTTTAACATACTTGTTTTGCATACTGATTCGTGATTGTTCTTTATATTATTTGACATGTACTGCTGTTTTGTATTGTACACTGGGTGATTAAATTTGACTTAAGATGAAATGCAACCGAATTACGTCCAATTTCATTTCCATTTGGCGATCACTGCTGGAATAAGTAATTAATTATATTCAGAGACATACATAAGAACTTATATATATTTCTGTTATATGTAAGAATTGTAAACTCTATTGTGTGATTTTTAAACTTAACGGACATCCTGGATAATTATTATTAAACCCAAACTTATCAAACATAGTATTCTATCAACTATTTGCTATAAAGCAATGGATTAAGAATATTACTATTATTCCTAACTCAGAAGTATAACGAATTTGTATCGTGCAAACTAACGGCTTATATATGATGACATTTATTTTTCGGCTTAATATCCGTCTTATTTTTAACAATATACATGCTAGTATCCAGGATGTCCGTTTAGAATGGTGGCACAGAGTTCATGCATATTCTTTAACTTTTTCTCTTTTCTCGTTCCTGCAAGACACTCGTTGGAACGAGATCAAAAAGGAGTGCTGTTATATTATGTACAGCATTTCAAGAAAAAGAAAGCATATGGCTATCAAAAAAGAACCATGTTATAAAAAAAAAACAGTGTACGTGAGCTATGTCAAGGTTAACGACTTACTCGTAGGAAAGAGCAATCTATATGTCATGGTAATGAGAAAATAAGACCTTCTAAGACAAAGCTAACAACCTTTGAAATAATTTATCTAAAGGATCAAACTTTAGTACCATTTATAGTAGTCACAACTTTCTCAGTCATGTGTAAAAAGTGTATTTAAATTGGCAAAGTTTGTTATGGATTTGAAATTAAAAATATGTGATAGGGCAAATTAATTCCAGCCTAAGCGGCGTTCTTGTTTCATTCGTGTTTTTTTACAAATGGTATATTATAAATATATATATTTTCATTTTTATTAAATATGTCTCGTTTTTATTTCAGCTTGTGGCAGTGATGCAGACTGTCCCAAGGTTAACAACTTCACTTGTAGCAGTGTCAATGAATGCGAGTGTCCATCTAATTATTTCCTATATCACAATTATTGTCTGTACGGTAGGTATCTAAGCTAATTATCCATTCGGTCAATTATTCAATTGAGTAGAGTTTACTGTTTTATTTGATTATAAATTTTTCACCGCTTGTTGGGATTGGGTTTGTCAAAGTAAGGAGAATATGGAATTTTATGGATTTACACTGTGTTCATGTTAACAATTTCTTATGTGTAGGAAGATTCATTGATATCGGTATTTTACTGCTTTAATTATACATACTTAGTATTTAAAATGTAATTAAAAAAAGGCTGATAGGTTGTCATTTTAAACTTTACTAAAATTGCGGTAGGAAGTTACCACCAGAGTACCTGTTCAAATTGTGAAAGAAGAAGTATCTATAAAAAGATGTTTGGCCATTTTATTACTTTTTAAATTTTTTTTATGAACATGGATTTCTTTGATCGTGAACGTTATTGGTGATATCGTTATTATAGACAAGTCTTTTAAAATATCTAAAAAAAATACAATTTATAGCAAAATTGTATGTTATATGAGTTTATTATTAGATGGTAAGTAAAATTCTAAAATATAAAATGTTTAATGGCTGAAAGGTCCATAGATATTATTGAATTAAAGTTGAAAGTTTGTTTTCGAGACTCCTTTAGATTATCTAGGAATTTAAACGTTATAATATTTTAATAATTTAAGAATGACCAATAATATTCCCTGATTTCATATTCTAGCTTTAAAATGACCAAATTGAATGTAAATTATACTTATATTTTCTTATTCCATGCACATTTAAATGAAAGTCAAACAATTCTCCGACATACTTCACAAATAAATGAAAGAATAAACAACATAAATTCTGAGAGAACACGTACTAATTGGAAATAACTAAGGGGTTAAAAAGCGAGATCTATAACCAGCGTTAAAATGAAAATGAAATATCCGATAGTGGGATATTCAAGATTTTTATAGATAAAAACTGGAATTCTTTTCATCAAGTGGTATAAAAGTGTGCCGAAAGTTGCAGTTGTCGCATGTGAAATATGATAATTTGCATCCTCGTACATGATGGAAATAATCTGTGCATTTATTATAGAAAAAAAAAACAACATATGTTTATAATATATTTTTGATTTTTGACATTTACAATTTTGAAGACCTCCCCCCTTAAATTGTGCGCATAAGCTGAATTTAGAAAAATGTAGTCCGGCAAAACACCAATGAAAATACGGAAAAAATTGTTTAACTGTAGTGAAAAATGTTTTCTTACAATAATAATACAGATAACAAAATTAATTTCACCCACATTTCCTAATATTTCAAATATAAGTATATAATATGTATTTTCCTCACAAAAATACAGCAATTATATTCTTAACAATGTGTACCTTACAAAAATACAGCAATTATTACTTTGTAGAATATTTGCATCTCATTCTGTTTCAGATTGTGGAGATCCGCCAGTTTTTGAAGTAAATGGAATAAACTTAAACTATACCTTACACTATGCTAACGGTTTTGAAGATTATTTGGTATTTTATAATTGTCCTGGCGGCTATACTACGCAATGGGATTATATAGGGGTGTGTCGAGAAGGAGGCTGGACAGCTTATTATTTTTATGACGGTTTCAGAGAAGTGTGGAGTGACGTCTGCTCACGCGGTAAATGTTATTTTTAATTGCAAGATTTTTTTTTAATTAATCATGTAATGAGTCATAACTACATTTTATGTCTATGTGAATTTCAAAGATTGAAAATTGATCTTACTTATTCTTACTCTTTTTTTGTCAATAGATATAATTACCGCCGGCTCAATCAAACCTAGCCTGCAACATTTTCAATTTTGCCGTGTTGGGCTTTCTTTAAGGATTCCTATTTTCTCTATCTTATCGCCACATCGGCGTTGTTTGTGCCGTACGGAGGCTGTAAACATTCAGTCAGAGGTGTTGTATTTCCGATCCTTAAAGATCGTTCAGCACGACATTATTTTTGTTCTAATGGTAATTAATTCTTTCGTTTTTGGGTGGTTCCCGTATTCCCCACTTGAATACTGTTAAATCATCCTTAGGATATGTGGCCTGCTTTTTAAATCTTATCAGTGATATGCAGCCTTCATAACCTCTGACCCCCTTTCAAAATTCCATTTTATATAGTTTTGCCCATTGTTTTCTCGTTTAGGGCACACGCATTCTTTTACTTGGAGTTCGACAAACAATTTTTAGGTTTTATGCTAGAATATAAAATAATTTGTTTTTGAATAATTTCACTAAATTAATCGTACTAATAAGTTCTCAAACATTTTATAGGCTGTGGGAATTTACCAGCTATAACTAATGGAAATATGACTCTTGATTGTACTACCACTGTCGGTAGCACAGCTACGGTGTATTGTTCTGATGGATATTCAGGTAATGCCTCAAGTATTACATGCTTAGACACGGGGCAATGGGAAGTTGCTAACTGTACTTTAAAAGGTAAATATCAATACTCTTTAAATATAATGTGATATAAATAGAAATATTCTTTAAAGCTGCATGCCTCCAAATTAGCAAACATTTTTCGATAAAATCAAACCCGAGAAAAATGAACTAAGATTTTAGGAAATGTATAAAGATTCAAAATTCTAGTAAAAAATTACATGTAATGTGTGATTAATGACCGAATTTTTCAGTATTTTTAACTATATTTCTACTGCATTACTAACGCCGTTAGGGCTATTTTTACATATTTTGACCTCTTTATAGTAATTTACATAGGTTGTAAGTGCCATTGATCATGTGTTAATTGCATTATTTAAGCAATTTAACAATATTACACTGTTAAATACATTTTCAAATTTTCAAGAAAGTTAACATTATTCTAGAGGCATTCTGCTTTTACAGGCAAATATTCGCTGACTATTGGCCGCAATTACAACATGTCGGCCTGAAGGTTGTGTATGTCATCATATATCCGGATTAAAAATGTCTTTCGGTATTTTCGTCAGTGTTGTTAATCTGTAGGTAGAAATCGACAAACTAACGTGTAAAAACTTTTCAGTAAAATTTCGATTTCATTTAACATAAATTTCCAAAGTAGTTCTCTTAAAGGGCGGGGGAACCTTTACATACAAGACAATGAAAGAATTTTAAGAAAGCCAATGATAATTTATTTCATGTGTTTATATTAGTTTATATAAGTAAAGCTTTTTAAGTTATGTATTTATGACATCTTTAAATTTGTAAACCAATATTGACATGACTTTTAATACTAATTAAAAAACAAAAATAAATAAAACTAAATAAAAAAAGAATATTGTATAGTTAATAATTTTGCTATTAGAATTGCGAAAAATTGTCTTCTACAGTATGATACTAAATGTAACATAAAAAAGACATCTTTTAAATAAATAGTGTCAACTTTTAATTTTGTAGAAGGTCCATAAAAAAGTATTTTAAGCAGATGACTGGATCAAATATACATGTATACTTTTTCTGAACCAATCATTTTGTATACTAAAGAAATCACCATTGTTGTATTTGAGATTCTGTAAAAAAATAGTTACGTTGAACAGTACACAACCAATAATATAATATAAATTTTATAGCACATACACAGTTCAAAATATACATATATATATGTATATATGATTGTTATTATCAGAAGTTATTATTGTGATTTTATGAATTTGCAGACTGTGGAGATGTCCCAACAATATCCAATGGAACCATTCATCTAAAAGAAATAGGAAATACCACATACGGAGCTTTAGCAGAAGTAGTGTGTGAAAATGGCTATAACGAAACTCTAGATTTTATCGAGTGTCGCGATACAGGGGAATGGGATGCCGTTGGGTGTTCTTTGGTTGGTATGTAATGTTTTGAATGTTTGTATTATTACATTTGGATATGTAAGCTTGAGTTGACTCTCGTGATTATATTGTCGTAATAATTCATGTTTTGGCATGTCGACATGTATTAACGCGACAAGACTTTTTCTTTCATTGTTTTGACAACGTTTTATTGAGGGCATAGCGACCCATATTTTGTCCACGTATGCAGTTGGTGTACAACAACATTAAAATAGATATTTCCATTTCTCATTTTCTGAGAAAAAACACATCTGTGTTCAATTTTAAACTTTAAAGAGAAAACAGAAAAAATATTATTCTACTTTTCTGCAGATTGTGGAATACTTCCACCAATTGATAATGGAAGCATTGTTTTGATAGAGGACGGCAATAGCTCATTCGGTGCTTTAGCTGAAGTGACGTGCTACATTGGCCATAGCGCGACATTAGAAACCATAATGTGTCGGAATACTGGGAAATGGGATAATACTTCATGTGAAGTTATAAGTATGCAGCTTACGTGTTTTCTCCTTATTTATTTTTATAAATCAAACGAAACATATGTTATAGATGAAAAACCCGACTGATATAGAGTTATAATATCATTTATAACTTGAAACATAATTTGTTGACATATAAAACCATAAGAAGAAATTCTATAAAACCCCTTACAGGCAATGAATTGTAGAATTAGACGAAAAGAATACAACAAGATATTGTTATCGTCACTATTATTTCCCCAACACATAGTATTTTGAATGTATAATTAATGTTTTGGACTTATGGCCATCGCTTATGAAGCGTTTAATGTAATACAAAAAAATAATTTTCATGTTAATGCACTAAATATTATATTGAATTCCTTTTGCTTTAATGTCAGGCTGCGGTGATATCCCGCAGCTCGATAATGAACTTGTAGAATTTAAAGGGAATGTTACAAGCACTTACGGCGCTGAAGCAAACGTAATATTACCATTTGGCTTAAATGCGACTTTGGAAATGATACAGTGTCTTAATAAGGTAAAATTGTTAACAGAAATTGTAGAAAAATACTTTAATAATAAGTTATAAAAAGCCATGTTTCGAAATTTTATCCAAAATGTGTTTCCATTAAGTTCTATATATGTTATAATTAAAGATTGCGGAGATGTGCCTATTGTTATAAAGGGATCTGTTACATTATTAGAAGAACATAACACAACGTATAGCGCACTTGCAAACGTGAGCTGTGATACAGGTTACAATTCAAGCATAGGCATAATACAATGTCTAGAAACGGGACAATGGCAAACAACTGAATGTCAGCTACTTGGTAAATTTTCACGCATTATATTATCATTTTGTATCACTATCAAAATACGTTATTATACCCCCACAACAAAATGTGGGGGGGCTATAATGGATTCGCTTTGTCGCGTCGGTCGGTCTGTCCGTCTCCATCATGGTGTCGCTCTAAAAATCCTTTACCAATTGAAGAATTTTCTTCAAACTTGGCACAAATGCCTCAACAAGGGGATGTGCAGGACCCATGTTGCCTATGTTTCAGCTCAATGTCAAGGTTACAATTGAAGGTCAAATATCAAACAATCAAATATTAGACAGTATGTCGTGTCCGCTCTGTAAGTCCTACACTAATTGAAAGATTTCCTTCAATCTTGGCTCAAATGTTCACCTCAACAAGCTAATGTGCAGAACTTATGTTACACTTTTGCCGGCTTAAGGGCAAGGTCTCACTTGAAAGTCAAAAATTGACTAAGAAAATATTCTTAAATTTTAGCATGTACTTTAATATTTCGGAAACAAGCACAGATTTTGCTTGAAACTTAAAAGATATATGAAGTGTCACAAGTAAGATATGCAGGTCAAGTTTCATAACTCTGTATTGCATTTTGATAAAGTTATGCGTCTTTTTAAGTCCTTAAATTTACATACAATCAATATGTCTTTTCCGCTCTATAAATTCTATACTAATGGAAGGATTTTCTTCAAACTTGATCCAAATGTTTACCCCAACTAGGCAATGGGCAGAACCCATCTAACCCTTGTGCAAGCTTATGGTCAAAGCCACACTTAAAGGTCAAAAATTGATTTAGAAAATGTTCTCAAATTTTAACATGTACTTGAATATTTCTAAAACTAGAACAGATAATCATTGGAAACTTCAAATATATACGAAGTGTCGCAAGTAAGATATGCAGGTCAAGATTCATAACTAAAAAAGTGGGGGGATAACTTTGTATTGTATTTTGACAAAGTTAACTCCATTTTTATGTCTTTAAATTTTTTTACTATAATATTTCTTAAACTAGAACAGATATTTACTTGAAACTTAAAATTTTTTTCAAAGGTAACAAGCAAGCTCAGATGACGAAAATTCTACAATTCCATTGAATTATGAGACAAGTTATGCCCCTTTTAGGCTTAGAAAATGTTCTGATATATAACCATTAATACTTAAATGTTTCTGAAACTAGAACTGATATTCACTTGAAACTATATGATATATGAAGGGTCAGAAGTAAGCTCAGTATGCAAAGTTTTTCCACTCTTAATTACATTTTGACATAATTATGCTATTTTCTTAACTTCACTGCTTTTGTTTGTTTTAGTACATTGGGAAAATGAAAGGTTATTTGTAACTGTTTCGAACATTTGAGAATATATATTTATACTATTCCCTGTATAATTTGTCTTTTTTCACCAGAGATAATTTCTTTTTATGTATATGTATTTGTGCCACTGAAGTTATTCCCTTAACCACTTTTCAAAGTGGACCGCCTCCGTGGTCGAGGGGTTAGAGTCGATGACTTCTAATCAAGTTACCTCTCTGGCGTGGGTTCGATCCCCGAGAGATGCTTTGGTAGTTTAGCACAGAGGAAGGTAGTCTAGCACTGGTGTATCTCTCCAGGAACGATGGTTAGGAAACTACCCGCCCACATGACTGAAATACTGTTGGGAAACAAACAAACAAACTGCATAAAATATCATTTTATATCTAGTCTGTGCTCGCCCATTTTGAGTATTTTACACCAATATCTTACAGCTCTTTTAGCAGCATTTATAAACATAGGGAATCCACCACAGTTACCTAAGACACCTGCATTAATTATTTTTACTTTCAAACATGAATATATTTTGCATGCATAGTTATGCACTAACTCTGGTTGTACTAACTTGCGTATAAACCAAATTTCTGATCCATAAAGTAACACATTTTTTGTCAAAAATATTAAAAAATACTTTCGGGGGTAACTGTCCGTAGTCATATAATTACGAAAGTATACAAATAAGTATTCTTTTTGCTTTAGACGCTTGTTCAGTAGTCATTCTGTTTATGGACCACTGTTGTGTTAAAGTTACACCCACATAACTAAAATTGCTGATTACTGCAAGAATTTGATTATTTTAAATCCATTTCTTGCTTTTCGCTAATTTCTCACCATTCTTAATCACCATTTCTTTAGATTTACGTTTGACTCATAGACATTTTTTACCAATTTTAATAACTTTTAAAGACCAACCACAATATCTGCAACTAATGCCAAATCATCCGCAATTAATAAAGATGATAACTCGGTTGTATCAGGGAACAGCTGGATACCTCTGATTCCACTATTTTTATTTCGTTTAAGTAATTCATCAATAAAAACTAAAGATAGAATTGGCGAAGCCATGCCACCTTGTTTTAGACCGATGGGACAGCTGACATATTCAGTGAGCCCTTCATTAGTTCTAACACAAGCTGGAACCGATATATACAAACCAAATATTGCATTGTATAATTTACCTTTTTAACTAGCTTGTACGGTGGCACAAATGTGACGTGTGTGTGTTTTTATTTATCTCGTGGCCACGAAATACTATGTCGTGGCCACGAGTTACTAAGTCGTTGCCACGAGATACTATGTCGAGGTCACGAGTTACTAAGTCGTGGCCAAGAGATAGCTAAGTCGTGGCCACGAGATACTATGTCGTGGCCACGAGTTACTAAGTCGTGGCCACGAGATAGCTAAGTCGTGGCCACGAGATACTATGTCGTGGCCACGAGTTACTAAGTCGTGGCCACGAGTTACTAAGTCGTGGCCACGAGATAGCTAAGTCGTGGCCACGAAATACTATGTCGTGGCCATGAGTTACAAAGTCGTGGCCACCAGTTTCTAAGTCGTGGCCACGAGATAGCTAAGTCGTGGCCACAAGATACTATGTGGTGGCCACGGGTTACTAACTCGTGGCCACGAGATAAATAACCAATCAGATTACACCATTTATATGAATTTACCTAATTAACTAGACATGTGCTATAGTACAAGATGCCCCTTCTTCACCAGCCTGTAAAAGTGTCATTTATACAACTTATTGACTTGTCAATAACCTTACATTTAGCGTCACTGTGACCCGATGTTTGACCCAATTACCTCGAAAATATTAGATGTCATCTACTGATCAAGTGCAATGATCTTTCTGGGTTTCATTAACCATGCCTTATCCTTTTTAAATTATTCATCAGACAAGGATTTTACCTTATAGGCTATTTACTGTTCATGGGCAATGTCCCTTACAAATAAAATAAACCAGGACTTATTCCTTCTCATGTTATCGTATAAACAAGGTTAACAGGCCGTAGTACGTACAAACTTACCAATTCGATCACAAACTTGTTCAACAAAGAGCTATAGTAAAAAATAATGTCTGATGGGCCTTGGAAGGTGACTTTCTATTATGATCTTAAAGACAAGTTCAAAGTGAATATCTTCAATATTTTCAAAAATTAATGTTCCATGTAAAAGTAAGTTGTCAAGTTTAAAAAAAATCATAATATATATAGTGTATTCTGATTGGTTAATTATCTCGTGGCCACGACTTAGCTATATAGCTATCTCGTTTCCACGACTTAGTAACTCGTGGCCACGACATAGTATATCGTGGCCACTCGTGGCCACGACTTAGTAACTCGTAACTCAAATAGGACGCAACGGACTGTATAACTTACGAGGATTACATGTACAAATCGATATTGGTAGAATAAGAATTGAATAGACTTTATTAAAGAATCAACCATAATTGGACCAAAATATGTCTCGAGCAAAACTAAGGTAACTCAATGATAACACTAAGGGGCAAAACGCTAACATAAGGTTGAGGGTTGGATTGATTTTTGTTTCTGACCTGACTTGAAAATGTCAGTGGTGGTTAAATATATAGGACAAGTCGCATGATTTGACGCTTGGTTGCTATTCAAATATTTTACATTTAAGCATATTCACGGTATAATTTGTCTATTACATTAAACTCATTTCTGGGCCACACAGCTACTGGCTGAAGAACTATCATATTCATACAAATTTTCTTTGAAAGAGAATTATGATTAAAAATAGGATTTTCATATGCATGATGTTTAATTAAAGATTGTGAGACAGTTCCGGTAATTGCTAATGGACAAATTACTCTTAAACAAGATGGAAATACCACGTATGCAGCAATAGCGAATGTTTCATGTTCAACAGGATATAACGCTACAGTAGATGTTATACTGTGTCTAGATACAGGAGAATGGGATAATGCAACATGTAAATTAATAGGTTTGTAGTCAATCTCAATTTTCTTTGCAATTAAGACAATTTTAGAACAAACATTTCTTTCTTTGGATAAGACATTATTTTGAATTTTAATGGAGTTCTGCTGTGTCCACTTGTAGGTCAAAATATTTTTACGATAATTCTATAGAAAATTATTTGTAACAATGTTAAGAATATGGTCGTCGTTTAGATTGTAGTGCTGCCCCAAAAGTTGCAAACGGAAACGTAGCTTTACTCGGAGAAGAAAATACTACATATGGAGCATTAGCGGAGATAACCTGTGAGACCGGTTATAATTCTTCTGTGCAAACTATACAGTGTCGTGATACCGGAGTCTGGGATACTGCAACATGCGATTTAATTGGTAATAACATTTTCAATTTATTGTTGATTTTTGGCCTGTTTAAATGTAGTGAATGCTTTGTGTTATTTTAATATTAAATAAATATCGTAATTGGATCCTGGTCTACCTTAATTTTTATATGTTCCAATGTTTACATTAAATTAGTAAGGAAATTTTATTTAATTTTGTTACATTATGATATTAGTTTGTGAACCATCACCAACGGTAGAAAACGGGGAAATCATTTTACAAGACATCTCCATAAACCTTTCCCGTGCCTAACACGAACACAGCAAATATCTAAATATATAATTCAATAAACAGATATATCGCTAACATCTGTGTCACATTTAAGTACAAACTGATACAGATTGCTTGTTACAAGAACAATATCTCATCTACCTTGCTGTATAGGGTTAGGTCGTCTCCATGTTCATTTTTGACACCACCATGTAATTCTCTAAAAGGGTCTATTAGGGTTTTATCTTTAATAAAAAATAAATAACAAAAATTCTAGCCTTTATATTATGATTTGTTGACTGATAATTATGGTAAACTAAGTCTGGATTATGAACAAGATTGAAGTTGAAAAATTAATGAATCGTTATCAATAAACGAATCTAAAATATCATAAATGTTTTTTTTAAAGAAATTTGGACTTTTAATGTCTGGAGCATATACATTAATTAGTAGAACATTTATTTAATTAACTGATACCTGTAAAATTTTCAGAATAATCAGTTCTCACTGAACTAGTTTAAATTCCTAAATTGCTCCCACATAAAGTGTCTCTACCCAAAGTATTAGACCTTCCTTCCATGGCTAAAAATATAATTCATCCCATTCGGAGTAAACTTTCTTTTCAATTTCTCTTATAAAATGTGATTTTTGTAGACCTAGTATATCAGCTCTTTTTGTATGGAATAAGTAAAAAATATCACGTCTCTTAATGCTATCATTTAAACCTCTGCAATTATAAGAAAAAGAATTAAGATCACTCATTGGCAATTGTTATTTGGATGCATTCATTGTATAAATAGCTACACCTGACTGAAATTTATACATTATCGCAGTGAAACAACTCTAAATAATCTTCAGACCTCAATAAATTAAAAAATCTATATTTTAACATGAATAAACTCAAAAAAGTTAAGAAAGAAAATAGAAACTAGTGACAAAATACATTATGCAAGAAATTACACATGGAAAAAAAGAACAGAAGACAAGTTTTCACAAATAAAAGGGGAGGGGACAAATTTTTACATACAAGAAAATAAAAGAAGCTTTAAGAAAGTCAATGATAATTTATTTCATGTGTTCATGTTAGTATATATAAGTAAGGCATTTTCAGTAATGTATTTATGACATCTTTAAATTTTTAAACCAAAATTGATATGAACATGACTTAAATTACTAATTAAAAGTAAATTTTAAGATGTCTTTAATCAAATTCAAAATTGTACCAGTTCATGTTAAATGTTGAATTCTCCTTAAGCCGGTGCTAGGGGGCGAAGACAGTAGTTTGCAATTTAAATCAAACCGAGCCTGCATCATTTTCAATTATGCCGTGTTGGGCTTTCTTTAGGGATTCTTATTTCTCTCTACTATATCGCCACATCAGCGTTGTTTGTGCCGTGTGGAGGCTGTAAAATGTCACCCCGTACATTCAATCAGGAATGTTATATTTCCGATCCTTTAAGATCGTTCAGCACAACATTATTGTTGTGCTTGTGGTATTTTAGTTCTTCCTTTTCGGCATCTTTCTTGTTGGGTGGTTCCAGTATTCCTCATTTGAATACTGTTGAATCACCCTTAGGATATGTGGCCTGCTTTTTAAATTTGTCTTTTGACATCATATCTGTGATATGCAGGCTTCATAACCTCAGATCCCCTGTTAAAATTCCATTTCATTTAGTTCCGCTCATTGTTTTCTCGTATAGGGCACACGCAGTTTTTTACTTGGGGACCATATGACGCTTTTCGTGGAATGACACTAACGTGTCACATTGAAGGTTCAATGATGACCGCCATATGAACACATCTGCGGATGTTTCAAAATTCAAAATTGTACCAGTTCATGTTAAATGTTGAATTATGCTTAAGCCGGTGCTAGGGGGCGTGGGCGGTAGTTTGCAATTTACAGTACCGTGCATGAACAGGCTCAATTAAACCGAGCCTGCAACATTTTCAATTATGCCGTGTTGGGCTTTCTTTAGGGATTCTTATTTCTCTCTATTTTAAAACAAGAAATTTAACTAAGAAGAAAAGAATGTTGTGTAGTTAATAATGTTGAAATTAGAATTGCGAAAAATTGTCTTCTACAGTATGATATAAAGTGTAACATATAGACATCTTTTAAATAAATATTATCAACTTTTAATGTTGTAGATGTTCCATTATATAAGTGTCTCAAGCAGATGACTGGATCAAATATACTTGCATACTTTTTCTGAACCTAATTGCTGTAATTTAGATTGTGTGAAAAATGGTTACGTTGTACAGTACATAAACAATAATATGTTATATTATTTTTTAGCAGATACATTTTCTTATAGTACATATACAAATGATTATACCGTATATACATATTTTAAATGCATTTACCGAACATACATAAATGATTATACAGCATAAACATAAATGAGTATACAGTTCAAAATACATATATAAATGATTGTTATTATAAGAAGTTATTATAGTGATTTTATTAATTTGCAGACTGTGGAGATGTCCCAACAATACCCAATGGAACCATTCATCTAAAAGAAGAAAGAAATACCACATACCGAGCTTTGGCGGAAGTAGTGTGTGAAAATGGCTACAACGAGACTCTAGATTTTATCGAATGTCGCTATACAGGGGAATGGGATGCCGTTGGATGTTCTTTAATTGGTATCTAATGTTTTGAATCTTGATCACAAGTATAACTAAAATTGTGATATGTAAGCTTGGCTTGTGCCTCCCTTGATTTCATTATCGTAAAAATTCATGTTTTGGCATGTCGACATGTATTAACGCGTCATGACGTATTCTTTCATTGTTTTGACATTACATTGAGAGCTGGCGACACATCGTTTGTCCAGGTATACCAAAGGTGTACCACATTTTACTGAATATTTCTGAGAATATAACAAATCTGAACATTAAAAAGAAAAATAGAAAAATAATTATCTTCTTTCATGCAGATTGTGGAATGCCTCTACTGATTGATAATGGAAGCATTACTTTGATAGAGGACGGCAATAGCTCATTCGGTGCTTTAGCTGAAGTGACGTGCTACATTGGCCATAGCGCGACATTAGAAACCATAATGTGTCGTAATACTGGGAAATGGGATAACACTTCATGTGAAAGTATAAGTATGAAGCTTACGTGTTCTCTCCTTATTTATTCTCATATAAAACATTTGTAATTTCATACACATACTCTATAGATAAAAAACGCGACTGACATAGAATCATGTTATATTTTATTAATTGAAATATACTTTGTTGACATATAGAAATATAGGAGCTAATTCTATAAAACCTCTAACAGATAACTCGCTGTAGAGTAAGAAAAAAAAGAATACTTCATAAAATATTGTAATCGCCAATTTGGTTGCCGCAACAAATAGTATTTTAAATGAACAACTAATGTTTTAGACTTATGGAAATCGCCTATTAAGCGTTTCATGTTATAAAAAATATTAATCGTCATGTCAATGCACATAATATTATATTGATTTCCTTTTGCCTTAATGTCAGCCTGCGGTGATATTTCGCAGCTTGATAATGCATTTGTAGAATTTAAAGGGAATGTTATAAGCACTGACGGCGCTTAAGCAAATGTAATTTTAACAATTGGCGTAAATGACGTTGAAATGATACAGTGTTTTAATACGGTAAAATTGGTTAACAGAAGCTATAATTAATGGTTATTGATAAGTTTTATAAGGCGATGCGTCTAGATTTTATCCAAAATGTGTTTCCATTTAGTTCTATATATGCTGTGATTTAAGATTGTGGAGACGTGCCTACTGTTATAAAGGGATCTGTTACATTATTAGAAGAACATAACACAACGTATAGCGCACTTGCAAACGTAAGCTGTCATACAGGTTACAATGCAAGCATAGGTATAATACAATGTCTAGAAACGGGACAATGGCAAACAACTGAATGTCAGCTACTTGGTAAATTTTCACGCATTATATAATCATATTGTATCACTATCGTAATACGTTATTGATTATAGTGACCGTGGAGATTTAAAATAAAAAATAGAAACAATAATAAAGCATAAACTAATGACAATATTCCTACTTGAATAATGTTGAATCACCCTTAGGATATGTTGCCTGCTTTTTAAATTTGTCTTTTGACGTCTTATCTGTGATACGCAGGCTTCATAACCTCTGATCCCCTATCAAAATTCCATTTTATTTAGTTCCGCCCATTGTTTTCTCGTTTAGGGCACACGCTTTTTATTACTTGGGGACCATACGCCGCTTTTCATAGAATGACACGGAAGTGTCACATTGAAGGTTCCATCATAACCGCCGTATGAACACATCTGCGGATATTTCTAAATTCAAAATTTTACTATTTCATGTTTAAATGTTGAATTCTGCTTAAGCCGGTGCTAGGGGGCGTGGACGGTAACTTGCACTTTCCAGTATCATCCATGAACAGGCTCAATTAAACCGAGCCTGCAACATTTTCAATTTTGCCGTGTTGGGCTTTCTTTAGGGATTCTGTATTTATCTATTATATACCCCCAAAATTGGTGAAGTATTTACTGACAAATCGCGTGTCATTACTCATATGTTAATCATTAGTAATGAAGTATGCTGTGTTAAGCTTTGCAAGTTACTTAATCATTGTCTTAATACAGATTGTGAATCTGTACCAGTCGTTTTGAATGGGGAAGTCGCATTGATAGAAGCTGATAATACAACCTATGGACAATTGGCAGAGGTCACGTGCAATAAAGGTTACAATTCCACCTCCGGAAAAATAAAGTGTCTAGAAACTGGAAAATGGGAAACCACACAATGTGAAATATTGAGTAAATAACCTTTTATTTATTTTGATAAATGCCCTAATGCCTCTTATTTTTTGAATTTATATTTATTGATTGTGAAAGCAACCATTCGTTTGTATGTATGTCTGTATGTACGTACGTAGGTACGCACGCACGCACGCACGCACGTACATACGTATGTTTGTCAATGACATACTTGGATTTCAAGTGTCGAAAATCGGATCTAATTTCGCATTCCTTTGGAAACTTTATCATCATTGGATCATAATATGTCTCGGTCAAAACTAAGGTACATAAATAATAAGATTCACTCTAAGTGGCCAAAGACTAACATCGGGTTGGGGGTTAAATTGCATTTTGTTTCTGACCTGACATTCTAAATTATTCTCGCAAGTGGTGATGAATTGTATATGACATGTCGCATGATAAACGCTGGATTGGTATTCAAATATTTTAGATTTCAGCATATTCACGATAAATTTTGTCTATCACATTGAGCACATTTCTGTTGTCACACATCAATTTATGATTAGGAAATGTAGAACATGCATGATATTTATATTAAGATTGCGAGGCTGTTCCGGTCATCGCTAATGGACAAGTTACTCTTACACAAGATGGAAATACCACGTATGGAGCGATAGCGAATGTATCATGTTCAATAGGATATAATGCGACAGTAGATATTATACTGTGTCTAGATACAGGAGAATGGGATAATGCAACATGTAATTTAATAGGTTTGTGTTGAATCACATCTGTCTTTGCAATTTAGAAAATTTAACAACAAATGTCTTTCTTTGGATAAGACATTATTTTGAATTTCAGATATATTTCTGCTGTGTCGTTTTTTTTATCAAAATCACACGATTTATCCTATCTATTTCTCAAAAACAAGTGCACTAATGGCTTCTTATATTCTCGTCTCGCTGTCATCAGAACTTGGACCAGGGTTTGTTTCAATGTCACCAAAAATCAGTTAAAGTTTTCTCTGTATACCTGAGAATAGTGAGCAAAGTGTGAATGGACTGGAGTATGTACCGAAATCAACTGGCTCAGAAAGAATATTACCATACATAAGAATTTGGAATTTCTTTTGAGCCTACAACAATTTGATAAGAATGACGAGTTACGTTGTTGGTCCCCACTTGCTTCCGTACTTTTTCCTTGTTATCGCCGCTGTTATGTAATAATGTTGTACACACCATGTAAAGAGTGGTCAAATAGGACGCAACGGACTGTATAACTAACGAGGATTACATGTACAAATCGATATTGATAGAATAAGAATAGAATAGACTTTATTAAAGAATGAACCATAATTGGACCAAAATATGTCTCGAGCAAAACTAAGGTAACTCAATGATAAAACTAAGGGGCGAAAAGCTAACATAAGGTTGAGGGTGGGATTGATTTTTGTTTCTGACCTGACTTGAAAATGTCAGTGGTGGTTAAATATATAGGACAAGTCGCATGATTTGACGCTGGGTTGCTATTCAAATATTCTACATTTAAGCATATTCACGGTATAATTTGTCTATTACATTAAACTCATTTCTGGGCCACACAGCTACTGGCTGAAGAACTATCATATTCATACAAATTTTCTTTGAAAAAGAATTATGATTAAAAATAGGATTTTCATATGCATGATGTTTAATTAAAGATTGTGAGACAGTTCCGGTAATTGCTAATGGACAAATTACTCTTAAACAAGATGGAAATACCACGTATGGAGCAATAGCGAATGTTTCATGTTCAACAGGATATAACGCTACAGTAGATGTTATACTGTGTCTAGATACAGGAGAATGGGATAATGCAACATGTAAATTAATAGGTTTGTAGTCTATCTCATTTTTCTTTGCAATTAAGGCAATTTTAGAACAAACATTTCTTTCTTTGGATAAGACATTATTTTGAATTTTAATGGAGTTCTGCTGTGTACATTTGTTATAATAATTTATTAAATGATAACTTGTAGGTCAAAATATTTTTACGATAATTCTATAGAAACTTATTTGTAACAATGTTAAGAATATGATCGTCGTTTAGATTGTAGTGCTGCCCCAAAAGTTGCAAACGGAAACGTAGCTTTGCTCGGAGAAGAAAATACTACATATGGAGCATTAGCGGAGATAACCTGTGAGACCGGTTATAATTCTTCTGTGCAAACTATACAGTGTCGTGATACCGGAGTCTGGGATACTGCAACATGCGATTTAATTGGTAATAACATTTTCAATTTATTGTTGATTTTTGGCCTGTTTAAATGTAGTGAATGCTTTGTGTTATTTTAATATTAAATAAATATCGTAATTGGATCCTGGTCTACCTTAATTTTTATATGTTCCAATGTTTACATTAAATTAGTAAGGAAATTTTATTTATTTTTGTTACATTATGATATTAGTTTGTGAACCATCACCAACGGTAGAAAACGGGGAAATCATTTTACAAGACATCTCCATAAACCTTTCCCGTGCCTAACACGTACACAGCAAATATCTAAATATATAATTCAATAAACAGATATATCGCTAACATCTGTGTCACATTTACGTACAAACTGATACAGATTGCTTGTTACAAGAACAATATCTCATAGGGTTAGGTCGTCTCCATGTTCATTTTTGACACCACCATGTAATTCTCTAAAAGGGTCTATTAGGGTTTTATCTTTAATAAAAAAATAAATAACAAAAATTCTAGCCTTTATATTATGATTTGTTGACTGATAATTATGGTAAACTAAGTCTGGATTATGAACAAGATTGAAGTTGAAAAATTAATGAATCGTTATCAATAAACGAATCTAAAATATCATAAATGTTTTTTTAAAGAAATTTGGACTTTCAATGTCTGGAGCATATACATTAATTAGTAGAACATTTATTTAATTAACTGATACCTGTAAAAGTTTCAGCATAATCAGTTCTCACTGAACTAGTTTAAATTCCTAAATTGCTCCCACATAAAGTGTCTCTACCCAAAGCATTAGACCTTCCTTCCATGGCTAAAAATATAATTCATCCCATTCGGAGTAAACTTTCTTTTCAATTTCTCTTATAAAATGTGATTTTTGTAGACCTAGTATATCAGCTCTTTTTGTATGAAATAAGTAAAAAATATCACGTCTCTTAATGCTATAATTTAAACCTCTGCAATTATAAGAAAAAGAATTAAGATCACTCATTGGCAATTGTTATTTGGATGCATTCATTGTATAAATAGCTACACCTGACTGCATTATCGCAGTGAAACATCTCTAAATAATCTTCAGACCTCAATAAATTAAAAAATCTATATTTTAACATGAATAAACTCAAAAAAGTTAAGAAAGAAAATAGAAACTAGTGACAAAATACATTATGCAAGAAATTACACATGGAAAAAAAGAACAGAAGACAAGTTTTCACAAATAAAAGGGGAGGGGACAAATTTTTACATACAAGAAAATAAAAGAAGCTTTAAGAAAGTCAATGATAATTTATTTCATGTGTTCATGTTAGTATATATAAGTAAGGCATTTTCAGTAATGTATTTATGACATCTTTAAATTTTTAAACCAAAATTGATATGAACATGACTTAAATTACTAATTAAAAGTAAATTTTAAGATGTCTTTAATCAAATTCAAAATTGTACCAGTTCATGTTAAATGTTGAATTCTCCTTAAGCCGGTGCTAGGGGGCGAAGACAGTAGTTTGCAATTTAATTTACGGTACTGTCCATGAACAGGCTCAATCAAACCGAGCCTGCATCATTTTCAATTATGCCGTGTTGGGCTTTCTTTAGGGATTCTTATTTCTCTCTACTATATCGCCACATCAGCGTTGTTTGTGCCGTGTGGAGGCTGTAAAATGTCACCCCGTACATTCAATCAGGAATGTTATATTTCCGATCCTTTAAGATCGTTCAGCACAACATTATTGTTGTGCTTGTGGTATTTTAGTTCTTCCTTTTCTTTTCGGCATGTTTCTTGTTGGGTGGTTCCAGTATTCCTCATTTGAATACTGTTGAATCACCCTTAGGATATGTGGCCTGCTTTTTAAATTTGTCTTTTGACATCATATCTGTGATATGCAGGCTTCATAACCTCAGATCCCCTGTTAAAATTCCATTTCATTTAGTTCCGCTCATTGTTTTCTCGTATAGGGCACACGCAGTTTTTTACTTGGGGACCATATGACGCTTTTCGTGGAATGACACTAACGTGTCACATTGAAGGTTCAATGATGACCGCCATATGAACACATCTGCGGATGTTTCAAAATTCAAAATTGTACCAGTTCATGTTAAATGTTGAATTATGCTTAATCCGGTGCTAGGGGACGTGGGCGGTAGTTTGCAATTTACAGTACCGTGCATGAACAGGCTCAATTAAACCGAGCCTGCAACATTTTCAATTATGCCGTGTTGGGCTTTCTTTAGGGATTCTTATTTCTCTCTATTTTAAAATAAGAAATTTAACTAAGAAGAAAAGAATGTTGTGTAGTTAATAATGTTGAAATTAGAATTGCGAAAAACTGTCTTCTACAGTATGATATAAAGTGTAACATATAGACATCTTTTAAATAAATATTATCAACTTTTAATGTTGTAGATGTTCCATTATATAAGTGCCTCAAGCAGATGACTGGATCAAATATACTTGCATACATTTTCTGAACCTAATTGATGTAATTTAGATTGTGTGAAAAATGGTTACGTTGTACAGTACATAAACAATAATATGTTATATTATTTTTTAGCAGATACATTTTCTTATAGTACATATACAAATGATTATACCGTATATACATATTTTAAATGCATTTACCGAACATACATAAATGATTATACAGCATAAACATAAATGAGTATACAGTTCAAAATACATATATAAATGATTGTTATTATAGAAGTTATTATAGTGATTTTATTAATTTGCAGACTGTGGAGATGTCCCAACAATACCCAATGGAACCATTCATCTAAAAGAAGAAAGAAATACCACATACCGAGCTTTGGCGGAAGTAGTGTGTGAAAATGGCTACAACGAGACTCTAGATTTTATCGAATGTCGCTATACAGGGGAATGGGATGCCGTTGGATGTTCTTTAATTGGTATCTAATGTTTTGAATCTTGATCACAAATATAACTAAAATTGTGATATGTAAGCTTGGCTTGTGCCTCCCTTGATTTCATTATCGTAAAAATTCATGTTTTGGCATGACGTATTCTTTCATTGTTTTGACATTACATTGAGAGCTGGCGACACATCGTTTGTCCAGGTATACCAAAGGTGTACCACATTTTACTGAATATTTCTGAGAATATAACAAATCTAAACATTAAAAAGAAAAATAGAAAAATAATTATCTTCTTTCTTGCAGATTGTGGAATGCCTCTACTGATTGATAATGGAAGCATTACTTTGATAGAGGACGGCAATAGCTCATTCGGTGCTTTAGCTGAAGTGACGTGCTACATTGGCCATAGCGCGACATTAGAAACCATAATGTGTCGTAATACTGGGAAATGGGATAACACTTCATGTGAAAGTATAAGTATGAAGCTTACGTGTTCTCTCCTTATTTATTCTCATATAAAACATTTGTAATTTCATACACATACTCTATAGATAAAAAACGCGACTGACATAGAATCATGTTTTATTTTATGCTTTTCAGTGGATTACTGATTTATCCGTGAAAATTATATTTGGTAATTTCACAGTGAAAATTATCAAAATATAATGTCAGGCTGTTTAAAGAAAAAGCAAAACTGAAATTGATTAATAACTTAAATGTCAAAAGTAATAAAAAAAAGAAAACTTACTTCTATTCATTCAAATTCATGAAATTCCAATCACCAAATTTCGTTTTTTTGTTTCATTTTGACAGTCTCAAAAATACATTCCTTCCCCATGCAAAACTGCTCTTGATGACATTTGGGCATATTAAAGTATCCTACGAGCAATAACTGCCGTATGCTTTATGAAAAATTGAAAGCACTGACAGCCATAACTCGAAGAATAAGTTAAATCAACCCAGCGTTCTTGAGCAGGTTTCCAAGAGTTTTCCATTTTCCTAGCTCCTTTTCTGAATGTTTTCACATCTGTCAACACTTATTTTTTGTTTGTTTCAATCCTCAAATAAGTTGTCTTTCTTTTAAAAATGTGTATGACTAACAAATCCAAATTATATCCCTCTGAATCTTACACAATTATTTTCCTCCATGAAATACACAACTTTAAAAAATGGCTGCCGCTTACAATTTACAAAGCCAGGTCTAATATAAAATTCGCACTAAGTAACAGAAATATGGATGGATGGTTGGACTTTTTCTCCCTACAAGAATTGTTTGTTTTTATTATCAAAACAAGCGATCATTCATATTTTTTTAATAAAATTAATAAATATCACCGTCATTTAATGTTGATTGGCGGACTTATTTTCAGCTCAAGACTTCTTTTTTTTTAATGAGAAATTCTGAATAAATGGGGCTCTCAATGGGGGAAACAGTTTTAATATTAACGTTAAAATTATGGAAATTTCGTTTTAACTTGTTTTTAAGCATAAAATAAAAAGAAAATTTGTCTGTTTGTTGTGTAAGATGTAATTTTATTTCATCTCGTGAACTTTAAAAACAGTATTCTCACTCGTGGCTTCGCCACTCGTGAGAATACTGTTTTTAAAGCCCACTCGATGAAATAAAATTTCATCTTACACACAAACAAACAAATATCCTCTATATATTTTATTAATTGAAATATACTTTGTTGACATATAGAAATATAGGAGCTAATTCTATAAAACATCTAACAGATAACTCGCTGTAGAGTAAGAAAAAAAAGAATACTTCATAAAATATTGTAATCGCCAATTTGGTTGCCGCAACAAATAGTATTTTAAATGAACAACTAATGTTTTAGACTTATGGAAATCGCCTATTAAGCGTTTCATGTTATAAAAAATATTAATCGTCATGTCAATGCACATAATATTATATTGATTTCCTTTTGCCTTAATGTCAGCCTGCGGTGATATTTCGCAGCTTGATAATGCATTTGTAGAATTTAAAGGGAATGTTATAAGCACTGACGGCGCTTAAGCAAATGTAATTTTAACATTTGGCGTAAATGACGTTGAAATGATACAGTGTTTTAATACGGTAAAATTGGTTAACAGAAGCTATAATTAATGGTTATTGATAAGTTTTATAAGGCGATGCGTCTAGATTTTATCCAAAATGTGTTTCCATTTAGTTCTATATATGCTGTGATTTAAGATTGTGGAGACGTGCCTACTGTTATAAAGGGATATGTTACATTATTAGAAGAACATAACACAACGTATAGCGCACTTGCAAACGTAAGCTGTCATACAGGTTACAATGCAAGCATAGGTATAATACAATGTCTAGAAACGGGACAATGGCAAACAACTGAATGTCAGCTACTTGGTAAATTTTCACGCATTATATAATCATATTGTATCACTATCGTAATACGTTATTGATTATAGTGACCGTGGAGATTTAAAATAAAAAATAGGAACAATAATAAAGCATAAACTAATGACAATTATATACCCCCAAAATTGGTGAAGTATTTACTGACAAATCGCGTGTCATTACTCATATGTTAATCATTAGTAATGAAGTATGCTGTGTTAAGCTTTGCAAGTTACTTAATCATTGTCTTAATACAGATTGTGAATCTGTACCAGTTGTTTTGAAAGGGGAAGTCGCATTGATAGAAGCTGATAATACAACGTATGGACAATTGGCAGAGGTCACGTGCAATAAAGGCTACAATTCAACCTCCGGAACAATAAAGTGTCTAGAAACTGGAAAATGGGAAACCACACAATGTGAAATATTGAGTAAATAACTTTTTATTTATTTTGATAAATGCCCTAATGCCTCTTATTTTTTGAATTTATATTTATTGATTGTGAAAGCAACCATTCGTTTGTATGTATGTGTGTATGTCTGTACGTACGTACGTACGCATGCACGTACGCACGTACATACGTATGTATGTCAATGACATACTTGGATTTCAAGTGTCGAAAATCGGATCTAATTTCGCATTCCTTTGGAAACTTTATCATCATTGGATCATAATATGTCTCGCTCAAAACTAAGGTACATAAATAATAAGATTCACTCTAAGTGGCCAAAGACTAACATTGGGTTGGGGGTTAAATTGCATTTTGTTTCTGACCTGACATTCTAAATTATTCTCGCAAGTGGTGATGAATTGTATATGACATGTCGCATGATAAACGCTGGATTGGTATTCAAATATTTTAGATTTCAGCATATTCACGATAAATTTTGTCTATCACATTGAGCACATTTCTGTTGTCACACATCAATTTATGATTAGGAAATGTAGAACATGCATGATATTTATATTAAGATTGCGAGGCTGTTCCGGTCATCGCTAATGGACAAGTTACTCTTACACAAAATGGAAATACCACGTATGGAGCGATAGCGAATGTATCATGTTCAACAGGACATAACGCGACAGTAGATACTATACTATGTCTAGATACAGGAGAATGGGATAATGCAACATGTAATTTAATAGGTTTGTGTTGAATCACATCTGTCTTTGCAATTTAGAAAATTTAATAACAAATGTCTTTCTTTGGATAAGACATTATTTTGAATTTCAGATATATTTCTGCTGTGTCGATTTTTTTATCAAAATCACACGATTTATCCTATCTATTTCTCAAAAACAAGTGCACTAATGGCTCCTTATATTCTCGTCTCGCTGTCATCAGAACTTAGACCAGGGTTTGTTTCAATGTCACCAAAAATCAGTTAAAGTTTTCTCTGTATACCTGGGAATAGTGAGCAAAGTGTGAATGGACTGGAGTATGTACCGAAATCAACTGGCTAAGAAAGAATATTACCATACATAAGAATTTGGAATTTTCTGTGAGCCTACAACAATTTGATAAGAATGACGAGATACGTTGTTGGTCCCCACTTGCTTCCGTACTTTTTCCTTGTTATCGCCGCTGTTATGTAATAATGTTGTACACACCATGTAAAGAGTGGTCAAATAGGACGCAACGGACTGTATAACTAACGAGGATTACATGTACAAATCGATATTGATAGAATAAGAATAGAATAGACTTTATTAAAGAATGAACCATAATTGGACCAAAATATGTCTCGAGCAAAACTAAGGTAACTCAATGATAAAACTAAGGGGCGAAAAGCTAACATAAGGTTGAGGGTGGGATTGATTTTTGTTTCTGACCTGACTTGAAAATGGTTTGCGTCAGTGGTGGTTAAATATATAGGACAAGTCGCATGATTTGACGCTGGGTTGCTATTCAAATATACTACATTTAAGCATATTCACGGTATAATTTGTCTATTACATTAAACTCATTTCTGGGCCACACAGCTACTGGCTGAAGAACTATCATATTCATACAAATTTTCTTTGAAAAAGAATTATGATTAAAAATAGGATTTTCATATGCATGATGTTTAATTAAAGATTGTGAGACAGTTCCGGTAATTGCTAATGGACAAATTACTCTTAAACAAGATGGAAATACCACGTATGGAGCAATAGCGAATGGTTCATGTTCAACAGGATATAACGCTACAGTAGATGTTATACTGTGTCTAGATACAGGAGAATGGGATAATGCAACATGTAAATTAATAGGTTTGTAGTCAATCTCATTTTTCTTTGCAATTTAGAACAAACATTTCTTTCTTTGGATAAGACATTATTTTGAATTTTAATGGAGTTCTGCTGTGTCCATTTGTTATAATAATTTATTAAACGATAACTTGTAGGTCAAAATATTTTTACGATAATTCTATAGAAAATTATTTGTAACAATGTTAAGAATATGGTCGTCGTTTAGATTGTAGTGCTGCCCCAAAAGTTGCAAACGGAAACGTAGCTTTACTCGGAGAAGAAAATACTACATATGGAGCATTAGCGAAGATAACCTGTGAGACTGGTTATAATTCCTCCGTGCAAACCATACAGTGTCGTGATACCGGAGTCTGGGAAACTGCAACATGCGATTTAATCGGTAATAGTTTGATAGTTGCAATTTATTGTTGCTTTTTTGTCTGTTTAAAAGTAGTGGCAGTGAAGGCTTCGTTTTATTATATTATTTTAATATTGAACCAAGTTCAATTGAAAAATATCGTAATTGTATCCTGGTGTAGCTTAAAATATTTTATGTTCCAATGTTTGCATTAAATTAGTAACAGAATTTCGTATTTTGATCTTAACACTGAACAAGAATTAACTTGAATTTATTTTATGATATTAGTTTGTGAACCATCACCAACAATAGAAAACGGAAAAGTATATTTACAAGAAGAAAGCAATTATTCTTTTGGTGCAATAGCTCGTATTGACTGTGAAACAGGATATATTGCAAGTATTATTGCTATACAATGCCGTGAAAATGGGACTTGGGATACTGCCATCTGTTCAATAATAGGTTTGTGTATAATATATAGTGAATATATTTACTGAAATCTTTAAAGTACGAAACAAAGACAAGCAAAATAATAATCAAAATCCCTCTCTCTGAAAAAACACATAATGTTCAAAACCTAATTTTATAATCTGTATTAAGTTAACTAAATGCTTCACTTTTAGTGCGACGTTTTTAACAGTTCTTCCATAATGTAAAGATTTTAAATGATTGTGTTTTATGAAAGTGTTTATGACACTAACTTATTTGAATCAGATTGTGGCAGACTAGATGATCCAATGAATGGTAATATCAATACTTCTAATGGTACAACATATGGTTCAACTGCCACATATACATGTGATGAAGGTCTTGATATTATTGGTGATGTAACTCGAATATGTGATTCAAACGGAAAATGGAGTAACACGAAGCCAGATTGTTTACTTAAAGGTAACTCCTTAATATTTGATTAAACTAAAACATGAAGTTAATTGATTATTAAACTCCGTTAAATAGTTGTTTTGTTTCATTATTTCGAGAGTTATAAAAATTGTGCTTGGCTGAACATTATGATTCTGGATCAAATATAGTTGCAACCTTTATAATAACAACACATCTTTAAAATGCACGTGTCTTTCTCGTCATCTTTAAATTGAATCATAACTTCTCATTTAAAGTTGTTGTTAAACAGGTGCAAAGAGGTGTCCGGATAATACCGACGAAAGAGGAACTGTTTGGAAAGCAATCGCAGGGGGAAGAAACAGAAGCAACGCGTGTCAAACTAATTTTACTGGTAGGATAGGTTATGTTGATTGATGTGTTTTTTTTTAATTTGTCTTTTGTCGCCTTGACCGTGATAAGTAGACTTTATAACCTCTATTAGAATTTTGTTACATTAATTTCTTCTTTTATTTTCTCGTTTTGGACATTTTACTGAGGTACTCTATCCCGCTTGCCATGGAATGGCACGAACGAATTAAATTTCCATAAAAATAAATGAACTAATCTGCGGAGGTATTTAGAATTCAAATGTCACCAATGTCATCTTGAGATGTTAATTCTGCTTGAAGCGGTGCTAACGGGTATGAACTCTAGCTTACAATAGCCACTACCGCAAAGGAACAGGATCAAAATAAACAAACCTAAATGATTGATTTTGGTTGTTTAGAGCGTTCTTTATGGTTTCGCTTTTCTTTTGAAGACTTTTTCTTGACCAAAGAGGTATTGCCTTTAAATAAACACTTTTATAAAGCTTACACGATGCACATTGAAAATTGAAAAGTACATTATCTTTCCACATGAATCTTTCCTACTTATAGGACTGGAAAAATATCGAAAAAACAATGTCACAGTCTGAGGAGTAAAACAGTCCGAATAATTCATCTTTATTTTCAAATATGGAATGGCGAACATTTCATTATTTATTATTTTTGTCTTTTTTTTAAATAAGCGTAAGTTGTATTTATAGCATGAGTGTGCGAGCCTCTGGCTCTAATGAAAATGGTAATCATGATCAGTTACCCAGCAATATGGTCTGCTATTAAAACAAATAGTTAATCTTATTGTATTCAACATATTTATTCATTTCACCATCCTTTTTATGCAATATCTTATTCAATTACACACAATTTTGGCAATTTAAGCTGCCAATCTTACAAGAAAAAGGATTAAGATCTTTATATCCCTCTATTATTGTACTTAATCGTATCGGCAAATGTCCACCGTATCCCCCAATGACGTCATCCAAGGGCGACAACTTGAATACGGTCTTAAATAAAAGGGTCTATACGAAAGTATAATACTATTTATTACATATTCAAATTAGCATTAAGAATTGCCGTGCAATGCCGTTTTAATGGAGTCGAATATTATATTTAATGCCAAATATTTACCTGTCAAACGTGTTAGGTACTGTAAATCGACAGTGTGGAATTGATGGATTCTGGAAGTTTCCCCAGTACCTGTGTATACGTGAATCAGTTAAAAAAGTTATAAACACGGTAAATATATATTGTTATTGTTAAATGCCACTGTGAATCAACGATTTGCTTCTTGTTTACCATCAGATATATATTTTGTTACAATAAAAAGTAAATTAATTAGCATTATGTAAATAATATAATTCATTGAACGAATACGCTTACCAAAGTAATAAATGTCAAACACGCCTAAAATGATTCGCATATTATGTAAGTTTCTTTCAGCTGTTAGCAAAGAGTTTAATGATATATCTTTAATTGTGTTGGAAATGTGATGACAAGGATTAAATATTCTTTGATGTTTTCACAGATAGATTTGTTAAATGAAGATACATCACATCAAGATGTTTTGAACGCTTTACAAGGTCTAAAAGATGTAACCACGCAAGCTGAAAATATAGTTGAGCAAGATAAACTGACTGATTTTGAAGTAAGCAGGTTAATAACATCAACGGAGACAGTTGCAGTTCTTTTATCATCGTCACCAAACTTAATCAATAACCAACTTACAGATGTAAGTATCTGACTTAAATTTAGAACAAATAACAGCATAAATGCATATCTATTGGTACACCTGTCCTGTTAATGCACACCCATACCTATGATCTGTGTCCGAATGATAGTTAAATGAAGGAAATGGTATGGAAAGTGTACTGAACTGTAACCTGTAGACCGTAGTGTTATAGTATGATATTAATCAAATTATTATAGCTTATAGCAAGCAGTATTTGAGTGCTTTACTGCTTCATTTATGCCAGGATGAAACAAAAACACATGTTATAGATAGCTGATGTATGCCCTTTATCTTACTACCAAGCACTGAAAATAATCGAGCGCACTGTCTTCAGGACGCCTCTTATTATTTGTTAAGTTAAGGGTCCTTGTTATAACTAAAACAATCAATGAGTTATCAATGTGCGGTGCGAATTAATGATGTATTGATATTATTGCCTTTTGATATTTTACGATTTATCGTTGTTTTTTTTTTTGTTTTTTTTTGGGGGGGGGTGTTTAATATTTGTTCGGAGTATAACTTGAAATGTTTAAGATATACGTATAAACACTAAACTTCATAGATTAATATATCTCATTTAGGAAGAATGCAATGCCAATGAAGTAAACGTATCTCTATAAATCATTTTTTTATTTATTACCCATGATTGTTTTGTCCGAAGCATAAATATGATGTATAAGGGAGATCTAATCTTGAAACTTCTTAGTTAGCTATATCTATGAAGGAGAAGTACAGTACATTAAGAAAATTAATAATAAGGTATACAGTGCCGACAAATGATTCTTAACACAGTTCCTATGTTAAGTCTGATTCTTTACTGAAAAAGAAATTATAAAAGGAGGCTCTGAATTATTGAACTTTAAGCAAAAATATTAAAATAGTAAGGGGTAAAAATATTTTCACTATCATGTTCATCTTTAGTAAAGTATTTGTCGTTAAAGGATAAACACGAGAAGTACTGGAATAAATATGATATAACATGTCTATTGTAGACCTTGTCGGAAATGTTGTTGCTAACATTATGAAAACTTGTAATCATACCCATTTGCACAATTTTATGCAATTATTTGTTGTTTTTTTTATTATTTATGACCATATATATATATATAACTAATACGTGCACTTATATATTGTTAAACAGTGATGTTTTTTACTTACTTTTAAAGTCAGTAAGCGGATGTTTCTAAATTCAAAATTTTACAATTTAATGTTAAAATGTTGAATTCTGCTTAAGCCGGTGCTAGGAGGCGTGGACGGTAGTTCGGATTCGACAGTACCGTCCATGAACCAGTTACACCGAGTCTGCAACATTTTCAATTTTGATGTTCTGGGCTTTTCTTAGGGATTCTTATTTTCTCTATATTATTTCACTATTTTTTGAAGCAGAAAATACCTGATTTGTTCACATATTTTTTTGCGTGTTAGTTCACTCTAAACAACCATTGAAAAGTTCCTTTACTAGTAATAATTTCGTTAGGATTACAACTCCTGAAGACAAATAACTCTTATCATGGTGTTTTCCCTTAGACAAACTGGTAACGGTTTTGCTTTGCACACCTTACATACTTCAACAACCAAATATATTTATTTAAACTTCATAAATGTTAAGGGCAACATTTTAAAATTGATTGTCACTAAATTATTGCCATTTATGAATCAACAAAATTATGCAATGCCCTACCTTTATCATGATACAGTATGCATTTCGTCAACAGTTTTTATTGTGTGATATGATGTATAATGTCTTTATACTTCTTCAGGTGTTTACTGAGACAATAAGCAACTTGATAGATGTAAAGAACTCTGGAAGTTGGAATGCAATAACACAAAATGTAGGTTGATTAATTTTATCTTATTTAAAATTGTATTGATTTGAATTGTATATTTTAAATGTATGAATGTAATTGAAGAAATATTATCACAATTTGTGCATTTTTACATTAAAATATTTCTGTTTTTATATTTATAGAGTAGTGAAGTGGCCAAGAAAATGTTAGCTTCTGTGGACACACTTGGTAATGCAATGGCAATACGAGTGAATTCTACAGGAAATAGTTTACCGGCAGTTGTAAAACCAAACATAGGTAATAATTATATTTTCTAAATAATCATATGTACATTTCATTAATTGCTGTAACAGGTCATTATATTATCGACTTTTATTGAATGGCATACAAAAGGCAATTAACAAGAAATAGTTTAAGCAAGGACAATGTGGATACCGCCTTCAGTATACTAGGTGGATACTTCCTTCAGTATACTAGATGTTTCTGTCTTAAATAGATGTGCAACACCAACAAATAGTTACGAGTACTGTTTTACTGTGTAATGAGATGTTACGCGTTCAATGATGCCAATTCCTAACAAGTTGTCTCCAAGTATCTTTGCGAGATCTGTTTGATATTTCAGCGCTACACGTGAAAGCAGTGTCATCAAACAATTTTGTTTTCCCTGGTTCTGATGCAGTACAGGAAACCAGCAGTGATAATTGGTTACGAGCAACAGATAGTCAAATTAAGTTTAACCCAGCTTCCTTTGGCGGTAACTAATCTTTCTTTTTTCAATATTTCTATAGAGTTGTTTTAGAGAGGTTTATTTATATACTTTAAATATTATGTGAATTAAATCCATTCAATAAATTCTTCTGTTAACTTTCCGAAAGGTACAAACTGAAAACATTATAACAATATGTTGCTTGGCAAGAGGAGTATAACTGTTCATATGCTTATAATATTATTATTTTAAAGAAGTTTTAGCACACCATTTAAATATTGACATGGAACTGACTTGTAAAATATATACACATTGTAATTGTGAATAAATCTAAAGATTATTATTAAACAATTTCATAATAATGCATATATCGGAATCTGTGATACTGCTTCATAAAGTTAAAAGGGCGTACATTAAATATATGGGTACAAAACTAAATTTATTTAACATGTACTGCGCTGAACTTTAAGTGAAATACTTCTATTGCAAAAGAATACTAAAAGCTAAGCAGTTCTCAATAGATATGTATGATTTGAATAAGAGAATACACAAAACCTGCTTGGAAAGCTGAAATTTCTATAACCGACAAAGTTAATTCGGTCCTTGCTTTAAAACGCCATTTTTTTCATGATTCACATTGAGTATCCTTTGAAGCGTAACCCATCATCTTTATGTGTACTCAAAAGGTTTTTATTCTACATTTATAAAAAGAGATTGTATAACAATTATCAATATTATTAAATGTCACATTTGAGCATAATACGTGTATATCTTTAAAAAAATCTTTAAAACTCTAGACCATTCGTAGGCAGTAAAAAAGAAAATTAAGTGGTGGACATGGAAGAATGTTTGTTTGAGTCTGTTCATAAGCAATTATGAAATATGTAAACTCTCTCGCGTCCCTAAGCACCGACTAAAACAGTGTTCAATCTTCATCACAATTAGAATTGGAATTGGAGTTTACAATTCCAGCGAAGACTAGCACATATATAATACAGCCGGTAGGCAGTGCTTTTTACACTGTTTATATTACTAATGCATATAATGATTAAGAGGGTATATGTAGGAAAGGAACACATTAAAGTGGTATCAAACTCTGTCATGAAATAAAGGAAATATACGATCTCAAAGAACCTTTTAAACATATCAACATAGCATTGCAAAGTTCTTGGCATTCAACAGCTGCCTCACAACATTTAAAACAGAATTGCTGCTAGATTTATGCTTATTTTCATAAAAAATCCAATAATAAACTTTAAAGAAGCATTTAGTGAAGTGAGCAAAGAAAGTAATTTACACATTGCAAACGGCACTTACAATTTACAAACATGAATGCGGATGTTTCTAAATTCAAATGTTTGCTTTTTTTTCTTTTTCTTTTTTAAATCTTGAATTCTGCTTGGGTTTCGATGATAGCGTGCTATTTCCAGTACCGTCTATGAACCGGGTCAGTCGAACTGGGCCTTAAACATGTTAAAGGTAACGTTTTGGGCGTTCTTTAAGGTTTCTCAATGTTATTATCACATATGTAGGTCAGAAACGTTTTTGTTTGTTCCATGATGATTTATTACGTTATTGAACTTTCTCTTACAGGAACATCTCAGCAACCTGTAGTATCAGCTGCAATATATAAAGATATTTCAATTATAATGCCGGATAAAAGGTAACATTATAACATCACATCAAGTAATTTACTGTTTGATATGACAGTATAACGATGTTACAATCTGATAAATGAAACAAATATGTTTTTAAAAAAAATATTTTGTCTGGGGAAATGTTGTCTTAAGATTCTTCTGTGGGAAATATTGCTTATTTTATGGACAACTTACATAACTGTTAAATCAATACTTTTTTATTTTCAGTGATAACGAGCAGCTCAATGGTCAAGTTTTGTCATTTTCTACATTGCCTCCATTAAATGGCACTTTTGATCCGCCAATCACCATGAAATTTGAGCTGACTAATGTATGTACTATATCTTATCTACTACGTACCTTTGAGTAGATATTGGCATTATATAATATATTTCCACAGTATTCAGAATACATTACAATGCAGATAAAAAGAATATTGAATAAGTAAGAGGACATCAGATCAAGAAATACACTAAAGTTGAACATGTTTTATCAAGAGAAGCACACTGAAATTTGCACTTATCATATAAACAATGTAACAAATTGGTATACTTTTACTGAACAATTGCTCAAGAAATATATAACGTCATGTATATGGATACAAGCTGGTGCCGTTTTCCCGCAAAACATTGTAAAAATATTTGGATGTAATTGTTGTTTGAGATTTGTTGTTTGGCCACTCAACATATGCATTTTACTCTAAAACAATTATTAATCGTTTAGAAATTGTATTAATATATTGCTAATGTTTGGAATGTTTGCCTTTGATAATACCTTTGACACTAATCTATTTTTAGGAACAATTGACAAGTGCGACATGCAGTTTTTGGGAAACCGGAAAAAGGTAACACTTTTTTGATTTTGAAATCCAAACAATCAGTTAACATTCTACAATACTTAATTCGCAAAAAAGACTTAACTGTCCTAAAGATTTGTTTTAAATTTTCAAAATATATTTGTCCAGATAAATTCCAAAATAAAATAACAATTTTGCATAACAAACACATTCATGAGTTCTTGTTTCACTGGATGGCAACATGACTGTTTGATCCATTTATGATTAATTTATATCTAAAATGATTAAGAAAGTTGTTGTTTTAGCGGATCAGGTGCCTGGGCAAATGAAGGATGCACTGGTAGATCTATCAGTGAAAATTTGACAGAATGCGAATGTAATCACACAACAAACTTTGCTGTAATTCTAAGTTTGCAAGGTAACATAATTTTCTATCGAATTATCCGAAACATGTTTCTTTAAATTATAGAAATTTATTTAAATAATACGGAGTTCAATATAACATATTAGACATATTACACAGTTTTGTTGTGTAAACATGTTATCTGGTATTATTTAGCTTTTTTCAACTTGGGTAGTTCTAATATTCCTTATTGAATACTGTATAATTACCCATAAGATATGTTGCCTGCTTTTTAAATTTGTCTTTTGACGTCTTGTTTGTGAAATGCAGGCTTCATAACCTCTGATCTCCTAATTTCCATTTTATTTAGTTTCGCCTATTCTTTTCTCGTTTAGGGTACACCCATTCTCTTACTTGGGACCATACGCCACTTTTTATGGAATGGCACTACTGTGTCACATTGAAGGTTACATAATAACCGCCGTATGAACACATGTGCGGATGTTTCTAAAATATAATTTCACCATTTTCGTGTTTAAATTTTGAATTCTGCTTATGCCGGTGCTAGGGGGCGTGAACGGTAGCTTGCACTTTCCAATACCGTCCTTGAACAGGCTTAATCAAACCGAGTGTGCAACATTTTCAATTTTGCCCTGTTAGGCTTTCTTAAAGGATTCTGTATTTTTCTATTTTACTTTTTTATTAGTAACATTATATGCATAATATTATACAAAATTAAAAAGATACGTTCCAGAAGTTTTATGTTTGACTTGTTTTATTCAGAAAGTCTATTATGGACTTAATATTCAATCTAGCAAAGAAAATGATTTGTATAAACCAACAAACTTGTCACATTTGTAAATCATTTTCAGATTGTGGAGGATTAGGATCCCTTGGCAATGGTGAGATTGACAACTCTGCTGGCACTACGTACAAAGCAACGGCAAATTTCAGATGTAATAAAGGATATAATATTAATGGTGCTAATACAAGCATGTGTTTATATAATGGCTCTTGGAGCGCCCCAGTTCCATCTTGCTTTATCAAAGGTAATATAATTTACTATTTAGAAATACTTATGTCCAATTGTCATTTTTGTTTGAAACGTTTAAAATTGTTATCCGTTACTTTTTGGTTAAAAAAGTACTATTTTAATGTAATTTTCTTTTACAGATTGTGGTATTCTCAGTAATCCATCAAACGGTAATGTATCAACACCTAAAGGAACGACATTTGAAAACAAAGCAGATTACAGTTGTGACAACGGATATATTCTAAATGGCACAGAAACCCGTCTTTGTTTATTAACGGGATCATGGTCTTCCACTGCCCCGACATGTGTGAAAGGCATTTTTATCTATTGCAATTATTTATTATTCATATTCACGCCAGTTTAAATTGTTTTAAAGTGTAAATGAAAATGTTCCTTGTGTGGGTAAATTTCTTTAGGAAACTTTATAAATACTTAGGCAAGCAAACTTTCGTAAGGCGAGTCTGGCGTTATTAGCATTTGTAAAAGACACATTTGATATTATTCTTATGAAGATTAGAAAGCTCCCGCAAACGATTTCACTTATGGACCATCAAAATTATAGAAAACATTTAAGCATGTTTAATTTGGCGCAAAATTTTAAGTACAAGTACTTCGATTGTAATAAATTTGATAGAAATAGTTTCGAATACGAATTAGTGTTCAACTTTATTTGTCATCCAATGAAAACGCTGTATTTCTTAAAAATTATGTGCGTTAATTTTCATAGAAGAAAAAAAAGTCGATACTATATCGAATTTCTTTCATAGTCGACATCTATTTTTCACAGTACTTCATAGAACGGCATAGTGACGTAATAAAGTGAGTGATTATGAGGCCAAATAAAGTTTGACACTAAATATGTTAGTATTCATCCGTAGCTGTTCTACAGAAATTAGAAACATTCTCTTGTCGCTATCGCTCCCGTCGAAGTTTCAAATTTCTGTAGAACAGCACGGATGAACACTAACATATACTTAAACTGTAAAGAATGAAAACCTTAATGAATGAGGAAGTAACCTTCATATAGTAAATCCGGAAGCACGTCTGCGACCATCATTTGCATAACATCATATTTGACTTAGAAAAACATGTTGACATTCATTGGACATATTACAGTCTGTGGTTGCTAATGCTCTAGAGCGTTAATCATCTGCTTTCGTTATTCTTAGATAGACCTTATTACTAGTATTGAATTTACACGAATTTAGATATGATTATCTCTTCATTATATTGTAGAAGTACAAACACCTAAAACTTGTAAGGAGAATGTAGACAGTAGAGGACTAACTTGGCAAGAAACAATATCTGGAAATACTCGGAATGAACTTTGCCAAAGCGGATTTACAGGTATAAGTAATACTTGTTAGCATTGATTGTAAACTCTTATTGATCTTACTTAATTATTTTCAAAATAATTCAACATAGTTATTGTAAGTAGGGCGTTATATTATATATGTATATATTTTATAGTTAATCCTTTTTGCTGAAACACGTAGTTTTATATCATAAAAAAACTATTCCAAGTCACTGTAAGTAACAATTTGAAAATATATTTATATAACTGCCTAAAAATCCAATGAATATATATATTTCTACAACAAAACGTAAGGTTCAAGATCTAGAACATGTGGTGCTGGCGGAGTGTGGAACTTGCCACAATATGATTGCGTTCGTAAATCGATAGTAAAAATTATCGAAACGGTTAGTGTGCCAATACAATTTTATTCTTGAAGTATTCTTATTTTATTTTTGAATTGAATTGTTATAGTAAAATGACAAAAACGTTGATAATTTTGTGTGTTTATTTTTCTCTCCATTTTTATTTTGATGATTTTTTTCTTAAAGTTTAAAAAACTACCAAATTTTATTTTTTCATAAAAATGCTTTTTATTATTGATTAACCCCTTTCTAAAAAATTTTTTAAATTTTAAAAAATTTAAAAATTTTTAAAACACAATTTTTGCACAGTTTCTTTTTTTAAAGGTTGGGGAGGTCAACAACAGCCCCCTTTTTTGTCTTAATCAAAAAAAGTGTGCCTTAGCCCCTTACATTCATAAATTGCGAACAAATGACAAAAACCCATACAAAAAAAATTTTAGGAAATTTTTGACTAATTGTGTACACTTAGTATAACGCTGAAAAAAATGAAAACGGGGGAAAAAATTGATACGTCTTGAGGACATTTTAAAAGTGAAACCGAAATAAACAATGATAAAACAGCATTTAACTGATCGCGAAAAGATCATTTTCTCGTTGAGACAGTTCGGAGTGGGCTTTTTTCCCGGGAAAATCATAAAAAAAATTATGGATAAAAAAAAACTTATTTAAAATTTTTATACATCAAGATCTCTTTTAGACACAAACTTTTAAAAAAAAATTTTTTTTAAAAGAAAGACATCACACTTGGAAAGATTTTTTCCTTTTTATTAAATTTTCTTTTAAATCTTGGCGGATAAAAACTATTTTATCTTGTATGTAATTCAAATTGTTAAACTTTCAGAACTAAAAAACTCCAACTTACATGACATTAAATGAAGCAATTATTATATCATAATATAGTAAAATAAGATAGTAAAATAAGATTGGTTTAGCTCTATTGCAACTCACTAAAACATTATTGTTTCATAGACAGTAACTGGATAATTCTCCTTGCGATGTTCAATTCATTTTTGTTTTCTACGATAGGAATTCCTAGAAATTGCGAGTAATCTTGTCGATGAGTCCAATCAGGAGAGTTGGCAGTCTCTTTCTCAGTCGGTGTGTATTGAACGAGTCTTCGTCCTTTGTATATAATATTGAAGTATCCAGTTCAAATGAGTGACTATATAACATTGATTTCATTACTGAAACAACAACAACAAAAACAACAACAACAAAAAAAAACAATCACAAACAAATCAAACAGAACTGTTATTTTTATTTTTTGTTTTTAAAATAATACATTAACATTAAGCATAGTAGACTGAATGCTGATCAAGCAAAAAGGTATTGCACATCATTTCATTTCTCACAATCTCTGGTTATCAATTAGCCTGTCCGTAATTTTCATAATGTTTGTTATTTCCGCTGAGAATTGTCTTGTAACTTGATTTCTTTTTTCAATTTGAGGCAACTTTGGTTTATTCAAATATGTAACCAAAACGTTATGAAACAGCAAAATATTTCAATTTTCTAGGAGAACAATGATGAATCAGCAAGGGTGCTAAAGGCAGTTGATTCCTTGGCTATGGTCCTGAGTAATTATTCAATTGAGGATGATCCCGAAAATAATGGCACCCTAATCGTGAAGAAAAATATTGGTATGTTTTAAATATGAGAGCCAATTTGGTAGAGCTAGATATTTTTGAAAATAAAAAAAATGTATGTTCCTTGAATATACAAAAGGATATTCAAATATGAATTCATCTAGAACATTATGTTGTTTAACATTAAAAAGACAACAGAAAAAACAAAAACACACACATACACGCGCACGCAAACACACATACACACACACACTCACCAACGCACACATGCGCACACGCACACGCACGCACACACACGCACACACACGCACACACACACACACACACACACGAGGAAATGAAGATTATAGGGTACATATACCTGTTAGCTTTACATTGATACCGCATTTACCAAAACATTTCACTTAAGCTGTGTTTATAGCTCGCATTCCAAACTCAACTCGTATACAGTAATAATACAAATAGTTGGTATATCAGAGTATGCCATTGGAATAGTTTCTTATATGAAGAATCGTAGTTTCCTTGGCATAGGGTGTTAAGGTATTTCTGTCGATTGATTGTTGTTTAAACGATATCCAAATTACAATGCACGGTATTTTGTATATGTCGTCCATGTTGAGGAACATTGGTTCATTTTAATAAGCCAATACGAAAGCACCAAAAGAACACGATCTCGGCTGCAAAGTCAGTGTAAAGAAGAAATTGTATGCCATTATGTTTGCAACTCAAGGCCCACGCCACTCAGGTTGATGTTTTTTCCTCAAGGCAAATCTGTTAATGAGACATTTTACATGACAAAATGTCTTCAAAAATTAATCAAATACTTCCAAGAACGGAAGACTCGCAAAAAATGTTGCCAATGTAAGATTGCTGCATGACGACGCGTCATCGCACAAAGCGCTTATAGTTCAAATTTTCTGAAGCAGAAAAGATCGTTGTGCTTCCCCGTCCTCTGTATTTATCTCACCTTGTCCCCTGTGACTTGCTAATAATACCTTTTAGGCCAAAGATTTGTTCAGCGCAATATTCCAGTGTCTTCATAGTGTATCATATGTCTTGAAATTGATAAGCCTGTCCGTGCTACGCCTTGTGCCCTATCCTGTTTTTGTTTGGGGTCCGCCTGGGCTTCTTGCCACTGGTTCTTGTCGCTGGGTCGTGTGTGTGTGGGGGGAGGGGGCTGCGTTCATTGAACGCCGCCTTTTCTTGTTGATTTTGTTAATCATATTTCAAACATTGGACCCGGACATTAAAACATTGTATACATTGTACCTGAGGTAAATACTTTGAGGGAACAAAATGAAAATAAAAACAGTGAAACCTATAGAGAATTATATTTTACGTGCTGAGATGCGTTCAAATTTGAACACTCCCCGTAAGTATAAAAATTATCAAAAAGAAAACGCTTAGTAAGCCAGTCTTGTAATTGACTATCTCGAGTTTTTTATAATTAATAATAAACGTCACAGATATTTTTCATTTTCAAAATATGTTTAGAAAACATGCAAAATATAAAGCCAGCTGATTTATTATTATATTTTACTTATCAAATCAGATAAAATTATGTTGATAATCGACCTTCACTTTTTTATAAATACAACGGATTGTTGGCTTTTGGATACATTTAAAATTTTATTTTACTAAAGACATTTTCAGGTTATCATCAAAAACCGGGAAATTTAAAAAGTTTCCCTTTTTGGCCCCGAACCAAACAGGCACAAATTTCTTACCCTTTTTTAATTTAATTCATTTTCAATAGACCATTTTTTCAATTTTACCTTTACGCGTTGGGTTAAAAAAGTTTTTGATGAAGATGTTTTAATTTTCCGGTCCAGACAAAAAAGGGCAGACAAAGATAGTAAACCCGGTTTTAAAAAGGGAAACATTTACCTTTAAAACTGCCGTTTGAAAAAATTTTTTTAGGGCTACTTTTTTAAAGCAACATTAAATTTTTAAATTGGTTTTTGTCCAAATTTTTAAAAGTTTTTTTTGTAAATAAATTTAAAAAGGGGATTTTAAAAATGGATACAAATACAGATTTTTACGAGTAAAAAAAGTCCGATTTACAGGTTTTTTCAGCAGTGCGATCCAAAAAATAAAAAATTGTTATAAACAACTTAAAAGACCGCTTTAATTCACATAATTATTTCTTGACATTTTACGAAACATGTTACTTAAGTACAGTTTTTTTTTACCAAAAAAAATTGAGGGGGATGAGATAAATTGCAAGAAAGTATTTTGAAATGAAAATTAAAACGAGCCTATATTGGTATGTTATGCATTTCAAAATTAATGTATTTTCTGAACACTTAAACGAAAACAAGGCTATATCAGACATGCATTTGATGTGGATATTTTTGGACTAAACTGATAATATGTGATCCAATAGTGATTACATTTGGAACATTACATAGTTTAAACGTAGAAAGTCCGTCGATTATATCTCATAAGGTGTGAAATAAAGTAAAATATTTAAGTAGTGTTTTATTGACGTTCTTTTAATAACAATTTCCTTTCCAAAAGAAAGATATATCTCTTCTATAGACATTAACAATGCATTCTTTTGAATATATCTTTTCTCTTTTAAAATTTAGTATTTAAAACCTGAAAAATATTTAACAGCACATTCTACTCTACTTCAGGTCCATCAGTGCAATACGCTACAACAGCCGTCATGTATAGAGATTTGTCCAAAATCTTGCCAAACAAACGAAACAATACAAATAACAAGTAATGGCTTCCTTTTTTAACATAAAATAGTGTAATATCGGAACATTTAGAAAGACTGATTTACATAATTCGGAATGACCATGATTTGATAACCCGTTTTTGAATAACATAATATTATGGTAAAACATTTCTTTGTTTATTCAAATACACATTAGTTGAATGAAATGTAGGCACGTTATGTAATACGTCTAAAAGCATGCAATTCATACGTTGTTAATTCAGTTGCACTTGAATCTGTTATATCATGAAATACATATGACTCTTGCGTTTTGTTTATTTTAAAAATAGGATTTTTTCATTTTCATATCGTATTGTAATCATTATCTTTCCATTTCCAGTGCCATATGCTACTGGTTTATATTTAACAAATACTTACCAGTATGAACCTATGTTATATATTTAAGTTGTATATCTCAAACAGTATTTTGAATCCAAACATTTGTTCTGTTACAGGGCGGATGATACTGATGATGTTATAAATGCACCCATTCTTTCGTTGACAATTTCACCACCAATAAAGTCGAATAAATTGGATCCACCACTCCAATTAAATTTTACTCATGACATGGTAGGAACTTTAAAGTCTATCAAATTAGAAAAGCTGTAAATCACTAGATTATCAGCAATATTTCTTGTTGTAAAATTTTTTATCGACACCGATAATGATTTTATACAAGGTGCATCTTAATTCAATAATGAATGTCATAAGGATCCTACACCGACTTGCGAAATATCTATCATATTTCAAAAAGAAATTATTAAAGAAAACTCACATTAATTTCTCATTTTTTCTTATTATAGCATATAAATTTACAACTCGTCAATGACGTCATTTTAAGGTCTGACGCAAATTTTTTTAAACGAGAGATGTTAAAGAGGTTATCCTTGCAACGGCAATTTTGTTTGGTTTGTAAGAATAACATCGTCTAAAGGGATATACTTTCAGTTGATGTAATTTGCTTGATAATTTATTCTCATAAATTGAAGATTGAAACACATTATTATAATAACAGTTTATGTCAATGTAAACGTTTTTTTTTTTCTTTCATTAAAATACATTGTGCTTTATGTGTTTACTCTTTTCTGTATCTTTAATATACATAATTTACAAGTAGTTTATACTGAAATATTTTCTTGATATCAAATGCGGTCATCTTGTCAATACTTTAGCATTTATATAATTAGTGTTTATTAAGACTTTGTCTATCATTAAACACCTAGTAGAGTTTTCCCAATACCATACATTAATTAATAGACTCAATTCATATTTAATATTCTAGCCATTTGTTATCATCCTGCAAGATGTTGTTAACCTTTACTTCTAGGCTGTCAAAACTGATGTTAATTCTCTCTTTGACTCTTGAATTATATATATGTATATCAAACGCTCGTTCAATTCAAATTTAAAAAAAGATGTTCCTGTCTCATATTTCAGACTAATTTCTCTAATCCATTGTGTTCGTATTGGGCATTTCCAAAGTAAGTAAGCTTCGATATGAATGTATACGATATAACCCATGACATTTTTTAACCAATTATATTAAGTATTATGAATGACTTTTGTGTCGATATCATTAATTGTTTTGGAGATAACCAATTTAAATATTTCAAGCAGATGCTAAGGCGGTAAGTTCTGTAAGTTAGTATTTTAAATTTTAAAATTCTAGGTACAAACTTTTCGGATGTTTTATGTTTTTTTGTTATGACTGATTTTTGCTGAAGTCTTCTTTTTTTATATATAATGTTTTTTTTTTAAGTGGGGAACAGGAAAAAAAAGGCTTTTTGGGCCAGATGGTTTTTATTGTAAAAAAATACAAATACTAACACCAATTTTTCTATGTACCATCGACCAACTTTTCGTTTTGATACCCTTTCTTTGGGGGTATTTTGTTTGATTTGAGTTTTAAAATTGTTTTTTCCACTTTTGCTTTTTTGCCTGAATCAAACAAAGGGTTTACCTGTTTAATTAAAAATTTTATGGGGGAAAAACATTTTAATTTCACATAGACATTTTTTAGAAAGTTCACAATTTTTTTAGTTTTAAAAAATTTCTCCCTTTTTTTAGTACACAAAAAACTTTGTATTGGAAAATTTTCCTTTTATTTTTCAAAAAACTGTAAAAACGAAAAACGGAAAAAAAAGCAAAGTAGGGAAAAACATAATTTTTACTTTCTAGGGAGATGCAGCATCCAAAGCACTCCGAATAATTTCTATAGCCGGTATCGGGTTCTCAATAGCTTGTTTAACAGTTACCCTTATCGTTTACATTTTCTTTTGGAAGTAAGACTTTATTTTTACTAGGGGTCTAATGTATCAAAATCCAATACTAAGATCAAAATCCAAGACTAAGAAATTAATTTTGTTTTATGTTATTTCTAAGTTGTTTTGATTTTTTATCTGTGGATTCATGCACGTATTACTATTGTGTTAAAGTTTTTATTTATTCAGTTTGTTTATGAAAGTTATGTATACACCTCAATATAGAACATCATGGTTTTTATGTATCGTGAATATTCAATTATCAATATATAACAAGGTATTAATGAAATCAAAATGTACAGTAAAATGGGTTTGTTTAACATAGTCCGCTGAAGATTCGTAAGTATTCTATAATATTATAATCATGTGTTATAATTGTTTTGTTTGAACATGATAAAATTATTAAGATACAACATACATCCATGTTTTTAAATAAAATATGTTCACTTTCTTTTGAACCAAAGGTATCTGCGGAATGATCGCACCACTGCCTTGATAAATTTGTGTGTAGCCCTTTTACTTTCCTACATTCTATTTTTGGCGGGAGTCGACAGGACAGAAAGTAGTGTAAGAAGTTACGAATCGTGACTTTTAAATACGATATCTATTTGAATAAACTTTTATCCATATATATAATAAGATAATCAGATTCTCAATATTAATTTGTTTATTACATGTATTAAAGGCACATTAATGAAAGCAAAGATCTTAAAGGAAAACTGTTCATTGCACAGAGTCACCAATATTAGGTGTATATATTTTTAGCACTGCTTTAGGGAAATATTTGAATTAATCTTTTTAAGGCATGAAAATTAGTCATGCTTTAAAGCTTAAAACTTAGCTTCAACTGAGAAGATATTGTATTTTACTTGTACGATCACAACTTTCCTAAAATTTATCAATGTATTAATTTATATTATATGTTCTTGCATACGTACGATTAATCTGTAAATTAGCTGTAGAAATTTGCATATTTATTTCTTAATATAAATATCTGTAAAGCAAAACGTCTCCATATTTATTTTAGTTGTTTTTGTTAATATAAATGAAATGAAAAATATGCTTACTTGTAAACATGTTGTTAAGTGAGTGTGCAAATGAAGTGAATTAACAAAACATCCACAAAATGACTTTAAGCAGGTTCAATTGCAAACATAACCCATACACTTGTAGTAAGGGGATAAAATGTATGCTAATAAGGATATGAATGCAAGGTGTATCTTAAATTATGGTATTGTCATTAAAATGTGCTTTGATTTTTTTATAAATTTGTAAAATTATCTGGAGGCGTGTAACTGTATTCAAACATTTTGATGTCAGTGTTATATACATATATGTTTAAATGAGGTATTTGCCTGCAGGTCGCATGTGCTGTTATTGCTGCTGTGTTACAGTATATATATTTGGTTGTGTTCTGCATTATGCTGGTGGAAGGCATTGAAATAGCTATCACTGTACTATATGTGTTCAAAACAAAGTCAAGAATACGAATCATGCTTATATTTGCTTGGGGTAAATCCGAATTTAAATACTCATTTTAATTTAATGTTTGTTGATAACTTAAAATATTGTGTAATAATTTTCAATACGGACGTTCAACTTGAGATAAAACAAATATAATCAAGAACTTTGTAATATTTTACTTTATTTCTCATCGATGAATCTGATGATGGTAGAGAGCCATTTTCTTTTGTTTTTCAATTCTTTTGAGTGTTCTACCATATTGATATCGAAAAGTTCAAGATATTTCTTAAAATAAATGTCCGTAAATGTCTGTAATTAAACCGGAATTTATGGTAGCTTTAAGAGTCAATGTAGATGGTCTCACGTCTGAATAAAGAAACCATTGAAACATTCTTCATCGAAAAATATCTCGTCAGGGGTCATTATACATTATACTATAACATTTCTTTTTTAACACTTACCAATACCATTGTATAATCAGCAACAAAATGTCATTGCTGCACTTTCATCGCAAATGTTTATGTTTTCTTTGCCCTATCATTATTAATTCACTTTATATCATCTTTGTTATTACCAACAGTAATCATTTAAAATTTGTTTAAATACTTTTGACAGGTAATATAAGTGTTTGTTTTGCACATATTATTACTTGTGTTTACAGTGATACCTGCTATTATTGTGGGAATTTCTCTCGGTGCTACACAAGCTGAAGGCTATGGCAAGGACAATTTGTAAGACACTACTTTTATTTAAAACAATTAAAAACAAGACTTGTACGTTCTTGATAAATACTTGATAAATCAATTTTGTTTATATCTCATACAATTTATAAAAGTTTGATGTGAATAAACATAGTATTGTTATCAGATAATAATTATTAGATTTTGGTTGATTTTAATATCTTTGCAACGCATTATTTATTTATTTTAGTTGCTGGTTGTCAGTTGAAAATGGCTTGATTTGGTCCTTTGTTGGGCCTGCATTATGTATAATTATTGTAAGTATGATAAAGAGTCCAATGTGTATGCGTTTTTAAATAACATTATAACATGCCTTTAACTGGTCAATCTTGGCGTTACAGGTTAGAAACGTTGATAGCTTGAATTTGAGAAGGAGTCTATTAAGTGTGGAGATTGGTTAAGACAAGAAGATTACCCCTATTTATTTTTTCGCTCAATAGGTCAAAGTTCAGACACTGTGGCCTTGACTACTGATAGCTTGTCTGAATTATAAAAAGAAAACGCTTTTTTCAACAGTATTTTGAATCGGTATGGTGGTTAGCATTACAAGGAAATTACCACTTTTGATTTTTGACTATGACAAAGGCCAAGTTAACAGTTGTTGTTAACATCACATTCAAAAGCTTTTGTTTGTATGTTGGTTATGACTTTAAAATAGACACTACATGTATTTAATTTGAGATTAATAATGACTAATATTACACATCTTAATAGTTATGGTCAGGGTTGCATATAAGCAATGACTAGAGATAAATGTGGAAGATGATCAGGAATAGTAAATAATCCCTTTTTATTTAAATGTCATAGGGTCAAAGGCTAAGTTCACTATGACAAGATTTGTAAAATACCCGTTCTTTTGATAACTTGAGAAGGAATAATGCTAAGTTTTATGAACCTAGTAATGTGCACAGTCCTCTTATCAATTACTATAAGTTTATTTTCATTGCCAAAGACATGAAGGGGACACTTTTTGACTTTGAGATCATTAGGTCAAGTTAACTGTTACACATGAAATACGTTTTTAATCAAGAATAAGCATGTCATCGGTCATAGGATTGCGAAACCATTTGACTTTTATAAAATATGTAAAGGAGTATTCAAATAATTCACTTAGATAGCCAATGAAGTAGGGACATAAGTGTCCTATGGACACATATCCTAGATAAGTGATTTTATGTGAAAATGCAGCATCCGTTTTGCCAAATGTTTTCAATTAGCTAGAAGTGAGGCAAGTCATTTTTCAGTGCATTTTAGTTCAAATAAATCAAAGCGGCTTACATTTTTATTTCAGTTCAATGGAATTTGCTTAATTATTGTGATTCGCACAATGTTCAAAACAAAAGCAATGGAGACGAAAACAGTTTCGGAAAAAATAAAGTAAATATTACTCACAACTGCAACAAATTATATTGTGAATGGAAATGTATATTTCACCAAAACATAAAGATCAAAAATGTTGAGTATCAGTTTAATTATATGAACAATTAATAACTTTCATTTGTGTCCTTCTCGTAAAAACTGTATGCATTTTCATGTTGAAAGGGGTCACATGTTGTGTTCAGATTATCACACCTAAATCAATATATTTTAGTATAATTACAGGTAAACAAACAAGTTTACATAAAAGAGGTTGTTTAGTTCATGTGTTTCAAATGAGTAAACTAATTTTCTTATAAGTAAGAAGCTAAATTCATATTAGTCTTTACAATGAACAGATAATTATACCGATACCATCTTGTCTGATAAAGAACTTATGTTTTATTTATGCAGAACAAGCTTCCGGTCATTGTGTGTGCTACTTCCTGTTATGGGGGTGTCCTGGATTCTAGGAATATTCTACGTGCATGATAGCTTTTACTTCATTCAGTATATTTTTGCAATACTAAATGGACTTCAGGTAGGTTAATATGTGGTGATAGAGAAATGCGTATTTTCCTTATTTTATTGCTACTTGGCCATTTAGCAAAAAATATAAACTTCATAAAAATATATGTGAAATGATATTATACGTTCAAATCTAATCGTGACTAGCAGATACATTTGTAAAGTACAAACATGAAGTTGTAAATTTACTCTCTGAACATTAATTTGCAGTTACGCTTTTCTCCAGTTTTATTTTCTATAATAGGCATAATCAATTCGTGTCCAAATACATGATTTTAAATGTATTTAAAATTTACACTTATTGATTTCTAAGATTTGCTTTAAAGAGTATTTCTAAAAAACAATAATGTTATGTAATAAGGAAAAAAGAAATAACTAACTATATTTCATATGTTTTACAGTGGAATTTTGAAAGTGTCTGGTTAGCTGTTTAAAAGATTATATTTGAGAAAAAAAAGGCTATCTTATATTAAATTATTAAATATATTCTAAATCGTTATTTCTTTCTTTTTCAGGGATTTTTTATATTTTTATTTCATTGCATCCTAAATGAACAGGTAGGTAATTACATTCGTTAACCATAAATTAAACAAATTTAAGATCACTATAAAATATAATGCTTAATAGAATTACTGAACAAGGATAAGATTTTGGCTTATCAGCATTTCATTTAATAAACCTCGGGAGAAGACTACAATGTTCAACGGTCAATGTTATCCAAATATTCTTTTCAGGTAAAGAAAGCTATTCAGCTTAGAAATAGACGGAGATCATCGGTTAAAGAAATTTTGAAAAGCATGTTGGTAAGCGTAAAATATTTACAACAATGTATAATATTTATAACAATGTCGTATAGATACAGAACTTAATTTTACACTTAATTGTTTTTTCTTCAAGACATTTTGGAGTTATTTATGGATTTTTTTGTTGTAAAAAACAAAGTAATGTCATTTTAAAGTTTTGGGATATTTTAAGATTAGCAGAAAGAATATTATAATATTATGCATATGTTTTATTATATGATCTATAAAAGCTTTGAAATGCTTTTATCTGATTGGCTAAAAATAATTTTCTGTATCATATAACAGGTAAATTTTATTTTATGTTATAAAAGAAAAATTAAAATGTATTTCACTGATTAGCGAATAAGATACTTTTTGTGAAACAGAACATGTTAATATCAGAGTATATTTACTTTTCTTTCCTAATAATAGATTTTTAGAGAATTTTCACCGTTTGTTTGTTTCTCGCAAATAAAAGTCAATTAGTCTGTTTTAGTTGCGTCTTTATTTTTTCTAAGGACATTTCGAATTAATCGTTACAATGCGCCTTTTTAAAGATGAGGGCCAAATATTTGAAAAAGTTTACAAGCTGAAGAAATGTCGACGTCCGTCGTATTCAATGCCAGATTTGATATGCCATATAAAAACTATAATAAGACAGATATGTTCGTATGAATATGATATGATATGAGACAACTGAAAAGTCCATATTTGTATACATAATTTAACAGCTTATTGCTTAAATGAGATGGTTGATTTTTACCATCAACTCTGTTTATTTTTCAGAGGAGTTATTCGAGAGATGAAAGCAAGTCGAAAGACCTTATAGGTAAATGTGTGACGTCTCATTTTAATGTTTTGAATATCTTGAAAATCCAACACGGGCTAACTTTAGTAAACCAGAAATGGTTAATTATTCCCTTCAAGATGATTAACGTTCCAATGAGATAGAAAATAACAGTTCATATAATTGCATTACTTACTTGTTGTCTTAAGCTAACATCATCTCAAAAAATGGTCGTGTAAACATAGCATTTGTTCCGTTGTTTATCGTGTGAACACCGTATCTGTTTGGTTGTTTTTGTTGTTGTAGATAAATCTAGTGCATTTAAGAAACACTATTATTCTACTTTTCGTTTATCCAGAACCGAGGAAATCATTTATTGATAGTGGCGATTTTACTACTCAAAACGACAGTGATGGTTGGAAGGATAAGGTATGTTATTAGATTCATTGTTGTCAATGTTTTGCATCATTTTTGTTTGTTCAAATAAAATTGCCAGTTAGCCTGTATTTTATTTCTCATTTATGTGGCTCTGATTTTTTTTTTACATTTTAGTTTCGCCTATTTTTAGTATTTTCTATGTCTTGTTATGTTTCCGATTATTTTGCATTTTTCCACACTAAATGTCGTTTGTTAATCTTCACTAAATACCGTTTGTTTATTTTAAACATTTTTTCCTACTTTAGATGATAAATTCTCGATACCCGTCGCCGGATGTAAAGTTTGCAACGCCGCTAGGATTTTATGGAAATGGAAGACGAGCAGCTACATTTTCTGTTGAATCACGTGACAAATTAACTAGCTTTGTTTCAAAATCAGTGTCAACGCCTCACAGAAATACAGTGGTCACTTAGAAGCTAATCTATTTTCTGCAAGACTGTGTAGACACATGATTCCATGTACACCCCTATGAAAAAGGTTTAGTGTTATGACATGTGTATCTGCTTTGATGTTGCTTTTTTATCTATATAACAGAAATTTTCAAATGTGTCCGTTTAAAGCGTTAATATCCTTGCTTTTGCTTTGTACATTTTGTAATATATATTATTTGAATTGTGCGAGTATTTATGTTTTCCTCAATTGTTATTAAGAGCCAAAAATTATGGTGCTGTATAAAGTGGCCCATTACCAAATTACCTTCTATTATTCTTATAGAAAGCTCTGTTCATAGCCAAAGCATCGGCATCAAAGTGTCTGGTAAAGGTTTTGTGTGATTATATAAAATATCATTTATTTTACTCTTTACAAGATGTAAACGATTCATTTTTATCAAACTTTATAAAGTTTGAAATTTTAAATTATCAATTCTTCCATTTCCAGTTACACAACATGTCTTTAATAATCCCCTTCCACGTAGCGGTAAGGGGATTATAGGAATAGCCTCCGTCTGTCAGTTCGTCCGTCCTTCTGTCAGTATGTCTGTCCGTAACACTATTGTGTCCGCTCAATAACGATTGAAATGATCACCATTTTAAGACGATGTGCAGAACGCAATATTAATGTTGCTAAACCCAAGGTCAAAATCACACTTACAGTTCAAGTGTTAAAAAGTCTAAATCTCATGTCCGCACCATAAATATTAAACTGGTAAAAAATCTTTTGAAATAACTTGGCACAAGTGATCACTTAATGGTTGAAAATGGTAGACATTTTAATATTGACATCGTGATTGTATGTATTGTGATTCAATGTTAGAGGACGAATATCACTTTCTTATCGTGTGTTCTGTATATGCAACTGTACGTTCTCACTATATACCATTGTATTATTATCAATATCCGCATGTTGGAAAGTTCTAATCTTTGATAGTCACTAAAGACGAGTCATTGATATGTAATGTTGCTATGTATATTAATTATGCAATGAAAGAAAGAGACAATTTCCTTAAATGCTTTGAATAATTTATATTCAGATTGTACGTTATAATTGCATTAGAAATTTGACCATCACTATATCTCCAGCAATGCTAATTTGTATTGTATATTGTATACACTGCGTATGGGCCGGAGGCCTTTTGTACAATAAAACCATTGAATTATATTGAAATGATCACCATTATGAGACGATGTGTAGAGCGCAATAATTGGGTTGCTACCCCCAAGGTCAACGTCATTCTAAAAGGTCAAGTATTAAAAAGTCTACATTTCGTGTCAATTCCAAACACGCTGCACTGTTTTTAAGATGACTTGGTAGAAATCATCACAATTATTATCACCAAAATCCAGGTTGCTACTATCAAGGTCATAATTGGTTAAGGTCAAAAAGTACACATTCATGTCCGCTGCGGAAGGGGTTTGAGCTGTCCTTCAGACTGTCTTGTTTCACATTGTTATTAATATGGCAATTTAGAAAAAAATAAATGTTTTGTGTAAATCATATACATTTCTCCTCATACTAAATAAGAAACGTAAGCGAATTCTATATATTATGATATATGTTTTGTTTTGCGTCTGCGTGCATTTACATGTAATCGTATTAGAATGATCATAAAATGACGTCATCGGTATTATGTTGTGACACTCATTCATTTTTCAGACTGTTGGTAATTGTTTCTGATTAATATGGTTTTAAAATGTATTCTTATTTTCTGTTACCTGCTAACACAATCTCAATATACATTTCTTTGTTTCATGTTTACCCTTATGACAATTTAATTACTACTTGTAATTCTTCATGTGCCAATACTTTGTCCTCATTCATTTATACTTTTTTCAATCATTTATAAACCATTATGTATTACACAATAAAGAATCAGATAAATATTTTCTTTACTGTATCTTTTTGGTTCACTTTTATTCTTTTTTATATTGGGGACTTAATTGTTGTAAGAAGCACAAATATTTCAACTTTTTAAAATTTAACTCCCGTTGACGTTGATAATTACGGTATAAGTAATTGTAGCGAATAATTTCAAGCTTTATTGATAGCCGAAGAGTTGATCGTACTAAATCTACAAAGGTGCGACAACCGATTCTGAACACGCGGCAATAGTCATCTGCTAGTATAATGTCTGTAGCTCTTTAAACAATTTGACAAAATACGTCACATTTTATGAATAATTATGTATGGCAAATCAATTTAAAGAATATGTTGCTTATGATTCCAACAAACTTTCAAAAGACAATAAGTTCCAAATAATATAACAGGTCATTTTTAACCTATGAATTGCTTTGTTTGCATAAATATACACTGTGGCGTAATTAAATGAATAGAAGTAAATGCGTACGCAGAACTGATACTGTTTAGATGATAACTGTGGTTGCTACTCGTACATTGTCATGTACTTTATAACATTATTCGTTTCCTTTACAGTGAGAATTGTGATGTTTGATTATGATATATTGCTAAAGAAATAATGTCTCATGACAATTTTGTGAATGTATATTACTTTAGAGCAATGACAAATTGTAAAAAAAAGGACAAAATGCAGGCTCTGTGTGACTTTCTTTTCATAATATAATATGAAAGGTGCAGCATCTATAATACCTCCATAGCACAGGCTTTCTCGGAAATAAATCTGCAGCACCATAATCATTGGAATAAATGATCACGGAGGACCATAAAGATAAGAGGTTTTTGAAGTTTTATTTCTATACATACGGGAATTATTTTCACCGAGTTGTATGAAAATAAATATTTCAAGAGTGACTTGACGAAAATTAAACAGTTGATATTTGTTTAGAGAAATCTGTTTGGGTTGTATTCCTGTCCATGTTTTTTCCTAATGTTATAAGATAAAGTTACTCACATGTGTAGATAACTCCTCAGCAGGGCCTATTCTAACCCACAAAGTTCAATAACTTCTGCAGCAATTTAATGTTCTGCTCAGTATTTTGGGTTCATGCTTCACAATCTTGTACTGCTGTATGTCCATGGCTGCCTAAATCAAATGAAATAAATTATTTTATAAAACTCATCTGTATCTTTGTCTATTTTAATTTCCAATTCCATATTGTTTTCTTGTTACATATCGAAAATAAACACTGCATTAATCTATTTCTTTGAATATAATTGGAACTGATTAAAACGGAGACGGTTGTCTGGTATTTAAATGAATGGCATCATGAGCAGCTGTTTATAGATGGTAAAAAGGGGGTAAAAAGGTCTGTTATTGGTGTGTATTTTAAAAACTTGATATTTATAAATGTTCCTATAAAGTAGAGAAATAATTGATAGGTTATTAAATACTATCAGTATGTTATGATTAATACATTATCAAATAGTGATGCACGGGAGGCCAAATGAGACCAGTATATATATGCAGTAGATATATACTGACTACTTAATTTTTGTATGTTTGTATTATATAATTCATGAGGGTCCACCCGCCCTTTAAGACACAAAAACAGCTTTTGCTGTCGAGGAAGGACTCCGGACATATCACCAGTCATGTCTTAAAGGGTTGATTTTGAAGCACAAAGTTGCGTTAATTTACTCCATGCAATTGTCATGTGGTATTAGCCACAGATAGAATTTTAGCCAAAAGTAGGTCAGTGTATGGCGGCCAATAAGAACCTACCTAAAATGTACAGTAGACAATATGAAAAGTGGTAGCCGTTAATGGAACTGCTTTTAAAGCCGACACTCTCTGTGCTAGCTGCTTACACACCTTAGCACAATTTCCTTTTCGTCCCTGCCTACTTTCTTTGTTTGGCCACTCCCTACGGCTTTAGTCAGGACATCGGCAACTGGTCTACAGTGCTGCTCGAAGTAGAGAAGAGGTTGTTTAGAATTGTTCTACTCGCTGCGCCGCAAATCTATGTCGATGTCCTGTGATTTCTAAACGACGTGCACGTAACGAGTGGTGGAAGTGAGAACACCGACTCTTTTTACACACCTTAGCACAGTTTTCTTGTCGTCCTTGCCTTTTTTGTTTGGCCACTCCCTACGGATTTAGTCAGGACATCGGCAACTGGCCTACAGTGCTGGACGAAGTAGAGCAGAGGTTGTTTAGATTTGTTCTACCCGCTGCGCCGCAAATCTATGTCGATGTCCTGTGATTTCTCAACGACGTGCACGTAACGAGTGGTGAAAGTGAGAACACCGACTCTTTTTGCACTGTTATTATACTGCACTAGAATCATCTCACTGGAAAAACAATTGATAATAATATCAAAACGTCGTTTGATACAGAATCGCAATATTACAAGCGTCTGCTGCCTGAAATTATTTCTCTTACAAACTATTGTTTGTCATAAACAGTTTAAAATTTAAACACATTCGTTGAATCTCTGAACGTTCTTTTTTATTTTTTTTTTTTGGTGACAAAATGACTAAAATACTTTCAATATCTTGATAATTTTTTGTCGGTAAAATTATTAAACACTTACTTTTGAACTACTGATAATATTTGTTGGCAAAATGTCTAAAATACTTTATATGATGACAAATTTACAAGCGTCATATTTTTTTAACAAGGCAAACATGGGAGGCAGCTTCGTTAAGCAAGGTACGCCATTACGTCATGTTTTTTACTCACAAAAACTTTCAAATATAGATCTAACTATAATTAAATTAATTCAGCAGTAATATTTACAAATCCGATTCTTTTTGCGTTATCGTATTGAATTCAAGAAAAGTCACCTTTCTTTCAATCTTTGAAAGAATGTTAAAATCTGCCGGTCATAAAACAAATAAAAGCTGTTTTTCGTAAGGAAATTTTAACACAAACCAATTAATACAAGTTATTAGTAATGTAATGAATATTTCCTCATCAACTTTTATGGCATCCATTTTAAGAATGTATCGTTTAACTTAGATATCCTTCATCTGAAAAGTGTTTTGGTGAACATTCTGGTACAATACCCCCAGTAGGGTATGATATTTATACATTGGCACACATGTTTTTTATAAAATTGTATTTAAGATGTTTTTATTTTTAGAATTTATAAGAAATTAAACTTATAATAAGATGTCGACATCCCCAAAGTTATTCAAACACAATACATGTATATGCTTTGTTTTGTTTAATATTCATTCATTGCAACGTTTGCTTTTGTAACATTTATTATTGTGCGTTTGCCATATGTATATTCATGTTTGTATTGCCAGAGGGAGATATCTGCTGAATGACACTTTAAGTTTGACTTTGATTTTGACCTTGGTAAAAGAATGCACACTCTGTCGAGATATGAACAACATTTTGTTGACATTGATATAAAAAAGACAAACAAACAAAAACTAATGTTGTTTATCTTGATTATTCGTTACTTAATTAAATACACCACTATATTCAGTTGCTACACACTATCACAGAAAACAATACTATAATCTGTCTTTATTCGATGTTTCACAAAACTCGCAGGAAATCAATTACTCTTATCTTTCCCTATGTAATTATTTTTACCCTAGCGACTTAATAGTCTGAAAAATGGTTTGTTTATCTACAAAATCAAAAGTTCTCCAACATTATCTCCTTTGTCTAATGCCCCTAATATCCAAACAGATCTTTAAAAATATAGCATTGTTTGTTTGCTGTTTCATTCTCTTAAAACAATAAACAGTGTTTATTATAATATAATTGACTTTTTAGATAATTGATTGAAGTATCGTTCTCATCCCTTATATCGGCTTAATCAGAAATCAGCATTATATAACACTATACATGAAAATGTAAGGTATTTCGTAAACGTGGGGTGCGAGACTTAGAAAAGACATTTTTACTTACTTACACGATTTTAAAAGTGTCTAACACTTGAACAGTTTTTCTACAGAAATATATACCAAACAAAAACAATATACCGTTTTTTAGATGACGTACGCCAATAACAAATGATAAAGCAAACCGGAGCAAGAAAGTTACATTACTTTATCGCTTGTTAGTACAAACAAATGTGGACTGACCTTTTTGCAAGCAAACAAAATCTAAGAAATCTTACGGATTCTTGGGAGCTTCAGAAAATTATCCGGTTGACTGGGTGCAATTTCCATGACATTTGATGCAGTTTGGCCAAAACATGCGGGTTGTTAAACATGATCACTAATATGAGACTCTGTGTACTGACGACTGACATTGTGATAACGATGTTCAAATGTGATTTCACTGCATCTTGTGTTTTTATGTTACTTGCTGAATGTTATTGAAATCCCTTTCTACTGCCTTTTGTTCAAGGTGTTGTAATTGTTAATACTGCTGTCATTTTTGGGCCCACTTATCTGTATGATGTGGTTAGGCACAACACCAGTATCAATTAATGTTTGCACCATCCCTTTCAATTCACTGTGTAACAATTATATGTTAATCTTTTTATACATAATAATATGATTTGTTTGTACAGCAATTAGCAACATAAAATATAGTATTTTGAAAAATGGGCATTAAGTAAAAAGGAAAAGCAGCATTTGACGTCATTGAATTTATATTTTCATTCCGGGAAAAAAAACCTAGTTGTATATTTTATTCACATAATGTAAATTGCATAAAAAACACTAAGTTTTACTTCATTTGAAAAATATTCAACAATTTCTCTTCTACTCGAACGGTACAAATATCGCCTTATTATTGATAATACAGAATTTTATGCGATTAAAACATTTTTAATGTATTAAACATGATTGAATTACGATCTTTTCTTTTTTCTAATGAATATTAAAATAAAAATTTGTCCGTTTTATGTAAAAATAAAATTGCACACGATTTTTTATAATTCATAGAGATCAAAAATGTTTTAATACAAATTTTGCACGATATTATTTTTCTAATTAAATATTAGATACAAAATACTTTAATAACTTGTCTGAATGGTGTTAAATTTGGTTGATATATTTTTGCTGCTTGCTAACGCTGTATGCCTTTTAAATATCCACACCTGATTTTTTATAAATAAGGCCGATTATCTTTTTTTTGAAGATACTTCTTAATTATTATATTGATATGAATAATTGAATTTTCTCGCTTGTCATCAGATATATCCTTATTTCTTTGATAACTAATAACGTTTTTGTTGAGATAAGAAAATATTATTCGTCGAATGAACAAAAATTGTAAATAACCAATGCTTTTACAATAAATTGAAAAAATATGTTTAGCATATGCATTTGAATGTTTTTATTATCCTTGCAATAATTTTAATACTCACAAAATTAATTGTATCATTCCGCAGTAATCAAAGTCATACAAGACTCGGCTGCTTCTCAGCCGAATAATAAAAATAAAAACTAATTGTGCTTTTGCGCAAATCTCAACGAAGTCGTTCACACAATTAATTTGGTTTATTGGTATAAATTCTGTAATATATGTGCTTCCTTTATAAAGAAATGGTTTCAATCCCAAGCCTTGTTATGCTCATCATTTAAGCGTGTCAGGACAAATGTTAAACTGTTGAAGATACAGATAGTGTCATATCGTGACAAAGATAAGTTTCCTTACTTTACTGCTGATGCACAAATATCTTTATTACATTATGAGAAGACATTGATATGGGAACTTATTGACAAGCGGCCAAAGCGGCATTAAATAAGATTAGATAATAAGAATCTCCCAACTTTTGTTATAAAAACAAATTAGTAATATTCAATAACACGTGTGCTTATTTAACGCTGAAAGAGAACATTCAAGCAGATAGAGCCATGACGGCAATAAATTAGGGTATAAAAAGATCGTGCCGATTTTCTCATCCATGTTGTTTTGATTTATCCGGTCTTTCTATTTTATCCAGTCAACTTCATTGGGACATTATTGCGCGCGATTTGATTTTAGTATTGATGCTTCATGTTTATGAAAAACATCTAAAAAACTTAAGATAAGAGCGCTTGGGTAAGCAAGACCTTCATCAAACACAGACTTTAGTTGATCTATTACAGATTACACTTAAATAAGATCAAAATAGAGCAGTAAAACGAGTTACAAGGGGATATCTGATGACTGCCGATTTATTTTATTTGTTTATGTTTATCAATTAAGAAAAGTATGAACGT